AAGAGCTGCACTTCAAAGATATCGTAATGTTCAGAGCTATGCCATAGCAGTAGGCTGCCCGTAAATCTGATGCTGATTGTTGCTTCACTACCGTGCTTCATTTGGACCGATATCTCTAATCAACAATTACTGGAAATTACTTTCTATTGTCTTAAACAATATTTAACCGTTTTGGAATTTGCGACCTAACTAAGGAAGGGCGGCTGAAATTATGAGGCGTAGTAGTTTTCTACTATTTTTTTGTTGGTGATTAAGAAAAAAGCTCGTCCGAATGACAACCCTGGTTAGGAACTGAATACCGCAAGACTTTTCTGATTTTCATGGGATCCAAACAACCGGTTCCCGAGGTGGGTGCTGTTTGCGACGAGAAATTCGTCGCTTTCGACAGTGCTAGTTGGAAGTTGAAATTCAGAAATTACCTCGTCGGAGCTTACAATCTTTTCCAAAGCAGAAGTTTTGACGAGGAATATCGCCGTCATAAATATTTAGCTGGTTTTTAGCGGAGTTACAAACGCTCATTTTTTAGAGCACTTTCCCGGTTTTAGACAAACTTTCTAAACTTTCTAAGAAACAGAAATCATTGCATGTTGGAGTGAATATTACTAGTCAACATTTCATATTCAGAACAGTTTCGGCGGAAATTGGAAAGCCCGTAGTTTTTTATAGCAGCTTGACCAAGACGATTGCCTTTCTGTGTTCACTATGAACGGCCTGCTATCACCACGAAGTCCAACAGTGGTAAAACATGCAAATCGATCGATTCTCTCTGGCAGTCGATGCGAAAAATGTCGCGCCATGTCACGCTGCGAACTATTGTAATGGGATGGCAAGCACGTGCACTTGCCGTTGATTTTCATTTGCTAAAGCAAAACCTCAAAGGTTGGCTAGCAAGAAGGCAGATTTTGACCGACAGTACTTTTTCTTCGCTTAAGACCGACTTCTGAGTTCTACCTTCAGCTAATTCTTGGGAAGGACTCTACATTTCCATATCATTCGATACTAACAGTAGTTGTAACTTTTTATTTCTTGAAAGTCATATTATCATTCATCCTGCTCGTCAAAGTGTATCCTGTTCTAATATATTTTCCCCACTTCTCCTCTACAATCGCTGCACATTTCGGGACTTTTGATATAAAATACGCCCTCGCTTCATTCTCAAAGTCGACTTTGATTTTAACTAGAGATTCTATATTTTCCCACTAACCAAAAATGATTCTGTCTATCGACGCTTAACATCAGCTGAGTCCATCGTGAGTCATGATGAGAAGTAGCAGCGTTTCTGAACTGATTTGTTTTTCCTAATCTGAGATTTTTAGACCCTCATCATTATTTGTGCCGGTCAAAGCAAGATTTCCATCTACTACTTTATCTCATGAATGTCGTGGTTCTACATTCGAGAGCCTATCAAAGAGCTATTAATTGTCACATTGAAGGGTGGGACATATCGGGCATCTGTGTTTTATTTTTGTTCGTGTTCAACCGAACAGATAAAGCGACAAATGCCATCAGAAACATGTGCGCCGTATATGAATATCATTAGGTAATGTTGATTATATCACGGAGTGATGGTCATTTTGGTGTTAAGAACGCTTCGCAGTCAGGACAAACGGCCAACAACGGTAAAGGTCATATGCTGGAACATGTCCCTGTTAGTGTACTGCTCTGAGCATGCTAACATCTGCAAGTGTCATGTTGTTATCCCTATATTGTTTCCAGCTGCGACGAATACAGCTAGTTGACGTGAGCTACAAAGGAGGCGGTCTTAGAGAATACTTTGACCCTCTTGATGTACACTGTACCGTTATCGTTGTCCATTTGACTCATAGTACCAGTTTGATGTGTAGAACCTTTTCATGTCGTGGATGTGGTCGATGTGTCATCCGTCGAATCTCCTTCGTGAGAGGGTTCTGAAAGCATTCTGTCAAAAAGATGAAGCGGGAATTTTTGATTCTTTGATTTTTTGATGACGCCCAGTTCAGTCCTTTTTTTTATTCGCTCTCCTTTGAGCATCATCATTCCTAGTACCGGTAATTAGTGTCGCTTTAAAAGAAGACGATGTCGCTAGCAAGGCGTGTACTTTATGGCTTTATGGAATTTTGTCATCTGTGCGTATACCTTTTTCTTTCCAATCAACGGGCTTATACACTGTAATGTGGTGGTAAACAATGGGAAAATTCTGTCGCCCTACCGCACCGCTCCTCCACGGAATCAGTAGGGTAGTTCAATTCTTGTTGTGCAGTTACAACAGCAGAAGTCATCTACAGTTCCCGATAGAAATCTTAGACGATCGCTGTGGCTCGGATGAGGTCCATGCAGTTGAATTTTTGACGAAACCCTACTTGCTCTATTTGTGTGGTAGGCTAATCTTTGTAAAGAACATGTAGTACGCACTCAACTAGGAAATCGGACGGTGGTCACGACGATACCAAAGACGACGAACTTCTTGGACGTAAGTTCTCCACTGGTCAAGGACTGTTTCACTTTGATATGCTCATTTGACTTACAAGAACTGCGTGTAGTTCGTACCCTCCAACAACTCAAAAAAGCCAAATACGTTTTATTTACTGATGAAGGCCAGCTTGTCTTATGCTATTGATTGCATTTGCAGCTTCAAAGAGAAGAATCTTGGGTGTTTCTGTTTTTTTCTGAGGTTCTCAGACATAGCGGAAGAGTTATCTGTGGTGGTGATCGAACCCGCTATTACCCTTGACTAAAGTGTTCACCGCCAAACCATGCAGGTGCTTTGTTTCGTCTTTCTCTCGGCTCGTTTTCCATCTAACAGTGCCACAACGATTTAAAAAGTTAACATTGTGATTTCGACTATAGCTTCAGTTTAACTAGGTGCAATGCCGAGTTTGCTACCCAGATCAATCCCATTGGCGGGTGATTGCTGATGGTGCTGTTAGATAAGAAACTAGTTGATATAAAGGCGAAAAGAAGGAGCCCTATGGGGTGGTGGTAGTAACCAGTAAAGAAAAGAATTAAGATAACGGAATAGATTTTCCAATTGCAATGTAATCTGCGAGTCATTCATCCCATCCTTGTTAATAATGGCTCATAGATTAGCATGAATTTAAGATATTACATTGTCTTCAAGCTGTCGATCGATCGCCTTTCAAAGACCAACGCGTAGTCCTAGCTCGAATCTACGCTAATCTGCCAGAGAAGTATGGATATGACTTTATTCTGGACGTTATCGCTTATGCACCATTCGCCTTTTTTCTCATAGCGAATAGATTCCTTTCCAGCTTACTGATGAAACTGTTCGTTAGGTAGAAGGTGGTGACTGAATCCACTTAGATGTGATGGAGCCATGAAGGTGTCAAGGGCTTACTATCTTCTATTTAGACGGATATGATCGACATCCTCATGAATCATGCTGCTAAGCAATTTTTTTGTCTAACTATGATTATTCTTCTTATCGACAAGATGATTCTACTCGAGAGAGAAGTGTCGTGTAGAGAAACCTAACCATTCTTTTGCCGGTCTGCTTACACTTCTGTGAATGAATTCATAGAAAAACGTTTTGTTACAGATTTTTTCCAACTAATAATGGAACTGATATAATTTGTTGTCATACGCTACACATATTGTTGAGTAGCTATTGAGGGTGCTAATTCTTTTTTGATGCAGTGATTGAAGTCGGAGTGTGGCAAAGTCAGCTGATGAACCATATGTACCAACGATATGAACACAGCATTAAGGCGGTAGACTTTGACGAGTTGTTAAATATAACCACAATGGTGCAGAGATGTTTGCAAAACTCCGGAGCGCAGGTATCTGCGGTGCGGATCGAACACGCGATTATACTTTCAGTGAGCGTTCACCACCACACCATGTTTGTCCTTCGTTTGGCTTTTCTCTCAGCCGTGTTTTATAGATGCTATCAGCAATCAAACGTGAACGGGACTGATCAATCATACCACGCAGGAAAAAAAGGAGTAAGCAGTAAATGAAAAGTGATCGTATTACGAGCTGATATTTTTAGCACTTTAGAAGTTGTTTTTATAACAACAGTCAAACAGCTAATTAAAATATAGGAGAGGAGGAGCTGACTAGCTGATATGGGCAACATTCAAACTGTAAGATGGATGTGGGAGGGCACCCCCATACGAGCTTCTGAATCTTCTTTTTCTGTGCTGTATTCGTAATGCTTTCAACATGTGGATGAGGATTGTCATACACTAGGGCTAACTTGTTTCAGTCTTTCTGGTCATCTTCCTCAGATCAACATTCCAAATCAGGGATTTTGTCCAACGATATAACTTGACATTGATGCTCCGATTTTTCGTGTGCAAGTCCTAGCAGTTGATACCATCGTGCCGAGCAGATGGGCTTTATCACAGTTGGATGCTTGTCCTAATCGCTTAGTGTTTATCATATCGAAATCACCGTCATCTATATGATAAAACCAACTTTACATGGTGATGGTGTTCTATTTATATACGGGGCAAATGTTTCTGAAAGCATTCGTTGCTTTAGCTTCTCGATTAAACATAAACAAAAAAACATATCGGAAATGTTCGTTTTTTCCAACTGGACGATCTATAGTTTCCAGTTCGCAGTAAGTATGCTTTGAAATCTGCCACCATAACTTCATATAAGATCCATAGCTCTTTAGAGTAACAATTGATTGGAGCTAACACCATCCTGTTAGGCGAATAAAGACAGAATCGTAACCTTTAATCGCGAATATTGCATAGCTTTCGTTCATAGAGTCCCTAATGGAGTCAAGAATTCCATAGTTTCGATGTCGCTAGATCCTAAGGTTAAAGAGCAATAGAGACAATCTTCTTATGAACCTAAGCAAGTCAATGATGATAGGCACTGATTTCGCTGAAGCACTTTATACTCTGGATTTTTTCGTGCTCGTGCAAATGAACCGTTCATTCAGTGTGGTCTGGTTCATACTCACTTCCGTATTGTTTATGAGTTCTGTTTCTCGTCTTCTGAATCCAGCTTGTCTTCAGAGTGTGCACTGTGGGTTCTGTCAGCACGAAATGATGATCGAGACGTTCGTTGGCATGGCGCGGTATTTGTCCTCGCGACACGACGACGACTGGAGCGACCGGCTGCACTACTCGATCACCCCCAACATTCTGCTCGCATTCTCTGTGTTGATCTCATTCAAGCAATTCGGTGGACGTCCAATCGAATGCATGTTTCCCAACAAATTTCCTGGAAGTTGGGAACAGGTCTGAGTTTACGCAATGTTCTAGGTGAACTCGTTCAATCCAGATCAGCAGTAGTTTGATAAAGCCTTAAGATTTGCATTAACCAAGTTGATCAATCTCATTGAGAAACGACATCATATTCGTGTTTCTTAGTAATAACGTGTTCGAGTTATGTATTCGACAAGGATTGAGGCCGTGCTAGGGACAATGTCATTTTTTTACGGATGACTCCGTTTTCATTCCACATATTTTGGGGATTGCGTTAAGCTAGCTTGCATGCCACTGGTAAAAACCGAAAAGCACCTTTCATTCTACCGCGTTATGCGCTTAGAAAAAGGATGACTGATGATCGGCAATGTGTAGCTTACGTATATAGTACTTCAAACAAAGAATGAGCATTCTCCCATATTTCCCAAGAATCAAAAATCATTATTTTGAGATGATGTTTTTCCATGTAATTTGGATGGAAAGAGCTTTTGTAATTAAGATACAAGACGAAGCCTTCCTAGTGCAATAAGTCGACCACAGTCTCCTATTCAATCCCACTGTTGTTCTTACCGAAACCTAGTTCCATTCGTTTGAAATGGCAACTGGTTATCTACAGAGAAGTGGCTCCTGTAAATATTTGTGGAAGCCGAACTCACACATTCATCAACGTTGTCGAATTCAGCTATAAAACGTCTTCACACCGAGGCATCTGCAAGGGATCGAACGAACATTGGTACTCAGCTATCCTTCCTTCTTTTTCAATATAATCATTTCGGTAGAAAGCATAAATGAAGGATTGATAGTGTAAAAGGATGGAGGATAAAGTTCTCGGCGTTGATCATTCCCTTAGGGATGCCCCATGCTTTCGGCTTCATTAAGCATCGTTCGAGATGTTGAATGCATATCTGGCCTTTACGATGACTCGCAATGGCTTACCGATATATCAAGCCAGTGCTGCTATCCTCATAGACAAATCTGGTACCAATTTTCTCACTCCGGAGTGATGGAAGGCTTGGTGGGCCTAAAGCGCAGGGATCGATCCCATGTGTATTGTAGGGCGCCTTCAACCGCTGCGCTACACGCGTCCATATTGATAGTGTAACAGTCAAAAACTTACTTTTCATGGATTAGAAAAAATCTAGCGTCTGAGATGGTTTTAACGGAATCTGAAGCATTCAGTTTATATGGTGTGCGCAGTATACGCAGCGATGAATGCGATGCTTTGAACATATTCTTGTTTCTAGTTTGCTGACATCAATTATGGGCTCCATCGCCAACTATTCGCGATCAACAACACAATCTACAATAGACAGGGCTTGTCCCCCTCTCTAACCTCGTGCACCAATTCCAATTATAATTTTCGTAGCGAACTACAAACGGAAAAATTGGTGTTCTAAAGCTTGCCATTCTGCATGGAAACTGTTTAAAAACGAAATTAAAGGAGTCACTTGAAATGGTGCTAAAAGTGAAAAAAATTGTTATGAAAGTAATGGCAAATAATCCAAAGTGAGGGACGACTGACATTAGAGATAGAACAATGCATTCTTCGTTATTCATCATCATTGATTTTCTCATTGAAAGTGTTTTCAGTATGCCGAAAACTACTGTTGGTCACAAGACACCTACTTTGTGGAACCGAAACAACATGTGGAGCTGCTGAGACCCGACCAACGGTGCGACATTTCAGTTCACTTTCGAGGTCATAAATAGTTCAATCGGATCAGTAGTCGAGTGTGCGGCACAGATGAGATGTTTTTTCGAGTTTACACTGAACTCGCCATTAATTTCAAGTGAGTGAATGCTATGCGCTAGGTTTTTCGGGAATTAATTTCGTGGTCCGACGAATATGGTGGATGAGGCAGAGTTCCTTAGTCCAGCCCGTTCAACTTTTGTAGCGTAAGTGGTGCGATGGGTGGCCGCGCGTCATCCGTGGAAAAGAATTGGTCAATTTCTGTTGATCATTGAGGGATGTAGCTGTTGAAGTTTTCAGTTCATTTCGTCGACTTGCTGGACGTAATTTTCCGCCGTAATCGCTTCACCTGGATTCAGAAAAGTGTGATGAGTTAAACAATAGCAGCAAACCACTGGTGGGTTAGCATGGCGTTTTAGGTGCAATTTTGGCTTTGTGAAGTGATTCGGAACCTCAGTGTGGTCCAGCCACTGGGCCACGAGTCGCCGATTGTCGAAGAGCTCTTCGCAACATCGCAATACGGACAGACGAAAAATGGGGTGCTCTTGTTGCACAGATAGAGCTCCAACATTGTCGTTCAGTTCGTGCGGCATCCATTTGTTGACCTTCTTCGGCCTTCCAGCTTGTAAATGTTTCAAAAAAACTTAGATTTTTGCACCGAGTTCTTCTGCAAGTTCCCGAACAAGATCTGCGTCTATTTACTTGCAGAGAAATCTTAAATTCAGCGGCGTCAGTAGCAGAAGGACGTCAGCGACCTCAGTCATTTTGAAGGTCGAATTGGCCACCACGATTTTTTTCAAACTAACTTTGCGTTGTGCTTCGATACCACTTTGTTGGCCATATAGCCCATTAATGTTTCGAACAACTTGGCTTCACTACGTCAGAGTTTGAATTCGCAAAAGTAGATTTGTCCAACTTCTGCTTTGACATCTGGTATACTAACCTTTTACGAAGCGGAAGTACACAAATACGCTTTGCAATGATATGCTATAGTACTCCATGCAAATAAAAACCTGGTCTGAAAATATTTTTCGAAATAATAGCACTGCAACGCAGTCAGGCACTGAAGAATATGAGAGAGCCAAAATATGTACCAAGAGCCTAACCCAGTCTTTTTTTTTGTTTCTCAAGCCTATGGATTTGAATTCATCCGGAAACCCAGCCAAAAGTAGACGAATACCACGAATCACCACCGTGCCAGTATCAAACTAGTCACAAGGTGGTAAATCGCACCCTGGAAGAAGAACCGGCGATTTCCTTTAGTGGTGACGATCTAAAGAAGCTTTCGGCTCCCGAGACTCCAAGGAACCATAATGGCTAAACCAGCAAAAAAGCCTCCAACTTGTCACACTGGACACTCCCGGCCTACGTCATCGAGCGGTCATATAACTAGTGAGAGGCGATCAAATCTCGGTTTGCAGACGACGTTATTAGAAACCGAAAAAAACGAGCACGCCAACGACACACCAAGGATACTGCCTGTAGTACCAGAACAGCTTCTTCACACACCGATTATCACGCTATTCTTTAGGATACTGGTTGCACCAGACTCCATGTGATCGCATTACAAGAGACGAAAAGCGGAAAGACAAACATACGCCACTTAGATGACGAAATCCTTGTCATTCGTGGACAGGAACACCCGCTACGAAATTTCGGAGGCATTGGCTTTCTCACACACCCATCTATTTTCCATTTAGTTATCTCATACTAATTCGTTCTATTACCATGCTTGGCCGTTCTTCGTTTTCAACTTGAGCGTCAAAAGGGTATCATCAACTGTTACTCACTAACTTGTACAGCTGATAAGAGCCAACTGCACGCGTTTTACAACAAGTTGGAAGAAGTAGTCGACAACGAGGAGCAGTTTCTGTAAATTCGTTGTCCGACACTTCAACGCTAGATTAGGAACGGTCAATGAAAATGAATACAAGGCAGGGAAAGCCTTAATACGAGAACGAAATGAGAATAGGGACCGTCTTGTAGGGCTCCTGTCTGCACCACGCATCTTACCCGTGAATTCATTTATTGAGAAAAGAGAAAATGGCAGAAAGACATAAGAGTTTCCTAACGACACTACTCATGCGGAGATCGATCATATTCTCACGAACAGAAAATGGTGCCTCTTTGAAACCTCAGTCGTACTTGGATTCTGTACTGATCTGATCACCGTCTTCACCGCCCGAAAATTCTGTTCAACGGTAAGTTGGAAAGGAATTGCTCTTATCGTCCAAGAGAAACGAAACAAGTCGCGTGTAACGAGGATATTCTCAATGAAATCCTTCCATGACATTACTGGCAGGTGAACGAAGACACTACCGAGAACTACAGGCTGCATGTCGAACGACTTAAAACTTATGCCGAACTCGCCTCGGTTCTTGAGAAAAGAAATTAAGGCTGCATCCCCATTACTATTAAGGAGCTGCTCGAAAGGAGAAGGACACTGAAGATTGATGCAACTGCAACACACCTAACACGGCTGATAATAAATCAAGTTTTACCAAATATTTGCAGGAGGATTTACATATCGGTATGCGAAGAAACAGTTATTAGAAGCAGTTCAAAAAGATCCAGTGTGAAGAAGTGCCATCGGGATCTATTCGAATGTAATGATCTGCTATCTGCCTTGGTGAACGAAGATGGGACTTTGCACTCCGCCATGATGTGGAATTGATAATGGAAAGGTTCTAAACCAATCTTTTCTGTTCCACAATCCCCGTCTCAGACTCTAAAATTCCCGCTGGATAAAAATCGCAAGAGGTCCTATTTTTCGAAGTTGGAGTTGCGATGGAAAGCATGAGAAAAGACACAACTCCAGAACGCGGTAACATCACCGCTGATTTCCCTAGAGCTGGATGACACAAATTACACGTACTTCTCGTTACCCATGTGGCATCTTGATTTGAGAGGGAGAAAATCGCAGACCATTAGAAGATGTAGGGTACGGTTATCCTAGCCATGAACGGTAACCGAAGGGATTTTCATAACTCATAACTGTATAACATAACTCATAACATAACTGTATAATAAGCTTTTTGAGTGTACTTGCAAGCTGTTCATAAAGATAATCTTTTTGTATACATTGAAAACCTTGGGAGCATAATAAATTTAGTGGGTATGTTTCCCACATGGTTTTGCTGTATAGATCGCAGCCAAACCGTGTCATGGGTCGCAGAAATCTATCGGGAGTCTATCTGCTTTTTTCCAACCTTTATCGACTATCAGAAAGCCTTTGACAACGCCTAAACGAGTGCAATCCTATCAATGGTCGCAGACCAAGGAGTGTATCTGGCTATATACGAACGCTAGTAGACTGTTACCAGAACTACACCACAAACGCACAGCTTTTTCATGGATTCTTCACTACACCTGTAGAAAAAGAGTTCGACAAGAAGACAGACTACCGTCGAAACTGTTTACTGCTGCACTGCAATGGATAGTGAAGTTACTTGATTGGGACGAGATAAGCACGAGCATGGATGGAAAATTCCTATCAAATCTTTACTTCGCCAACGACATCGTCGTCTTCTGAAGAAGTGCCAACAGAACAGAGACAATGACCAATGTACTCAAGGAGACGCAGAAAATGAGCGAACTACGTATAAATTGGAAGAAGAGCGCATTCCTGAAAAACCCATGGTGCGAGAATGTTACGCAGGAATTAGACAGAAGAAGGAGAGCAGCTTGGGTTTCATTCGGGTCTCTCAAAGAAGCCATCGACCAGTAAACGTTTGAAAAACTAGGCACTTTTGCACTCAACAGTCTTCCCAGCGATCTGTTACGCAGCAGAGAAGTGGGCTCATAGCTGAATCACGTGAAGAATGCTGCACACCACCCACTGAGCGGTTGAACGATGTTTTCTGAAATTTAGCCATTGCACACAACATTTCGCCGGAATGCGATGCTCTGGTCTTCGAAATCTATCTTGCCTTCGAGATATACGTCAATCCAGGTGAACACGCGTAGACAACGAAACACAGGTGTGCCGGTCGCATAATAAGAAGAACAGACGACAGAAGGACGAGAAAAACTTTGGAATGTACCCCATGAGGATGTAAACACCCTCTTGGTCGAGCACTCAAACGATGGGCGAGTGTGTTCGTGGCCAACGTCGGCCATCTGCAATCGCAGATGGAATCGATCGACTTCAGGACTATGGAATTGGTTTCGCAGACGTCACCATGTTCGAAGCATATCACCACCATTGACGACAATTGCGCGGTAGAGAAACGAATGAAAATTTTTCTGGAAGGTGCAACATTAGCGAAAACGGGCTATCGAAGTATCCAAGTGAGGAAGTAAGTATGGAAATGGATGAATGACTCGATAGCTCTACTAAGAACCGATGCAAGCGTGAGAGCGAACATTTATGTCGCCACACTAATGTTTCAACAAGTCATCCACGAAATGTTTTCATTTAATAGCTTCTCTTGATTATTCTAGTTAATATAAAAGTAGTTATTTCATTCCTACTTTTTTCGTATGACGGTAGTAGTTACCTTTCAAGGTATGCGACGGAGCGCCAATTATCCTACTATCAATGGGTTCCGTTCTTCCTGCTTCTTCAAGCTGCGTTCTTTCGAGCGCCAAGTTTCGTATGGAGGTCATTCTCCAATCATTCCGGTAAATACTTTTTTTAAAAGTTTCTCTTAAAGCTACATTTCGCTCGACTGCGTAGATGGTTACTCGTTTTTGGGATACTGTTTGATTCCATGAGTCCCTCTTCATCACTCATGGTTACTTCCTTAACAAAAGCCAATTATTGACGCATGGCTCATTCTTTGCACTTTGCCTTTATTTCTGTAATCCTAACTTGGTGAACATTAATTAGGAATGTTGGTAGCGCTGCTATAAGCAAGAAAGATTATATGGCGAGATCAGAGGCATAAGTACGTGTGTCAATGAAAACATTACCTCTCGGAGTATTGTTCAAGTTGATATGCTTCGCTGTAGGTATTCGAATACATGAAGTGGTAGGGAAAGCGAAGGATGCGGCAAATGTCGACGAAGAAGTACGGCAGAAGAACATCACCATTCTAGCTCGACACCTAGAAAACGCTCTTCATTTTTACCGCGGAATACCGAAACGACAGGTAGGTCCGCCTTTGTAGTGATAATCAAGACTTTGCACTTCGTCATTCACGTTACAGAAAATATTGGATCGCATTGGGAAATGACTGAAAATGATTGCGCGGCCAAAGAATTTGTCCTCTAACGGGGCGTAAATTGTTGAACATGTGCTACACTGCAGTTGGAAGTATCACTGTACAAAAAGCTGGACATTTTTAAATAAGAAATAAAAAAACAGATCCCACAGCGTTGACCAACCCTTGGGAGATGGCCATGCATTCGATTTCATCAAGCATCGTTCGAAGTGATTGAATGCATATCTAATCTGTAGTCACGGTGGTCTACCAATGTATCGAGTAAGCGATACTGTCCTCCTAGCCTCTGGTACCAATTTGCCGACCACACAGTGAATGGAAGGCTTGATAAGCCTGACGCGCGTGGTCGAACACATGTGTATTCCAAGGCACCTTTAACTACTGCGCTACACACATTACGGTAGAGATTATATCTCGCTAATTTACTCTTTTTTTCATGAACAAACACCAGATTGCTATTACAGCATTTATTCAGTTACAATAGCTGTCGTTTTGGCGATTTACCCTTCTTCACAACCTGGAAAGGTTAAATTGACATGCAATCTACTCAGCTGAACACTTTCACAGCCTAAGAAGATAAAACAGTGCACAAATTTTCTATATCTTCGCTGCGAATCTATCCCTAAAAATTAGTGTTTTCTTGTTAAAAATCACTCTGACTTCCTTTGTCTGTAGTGGAGGAGCTAATGATGGAGTTTGAACGGTTCCTTGAGGATATTTTTTTCACGTAGAGATTTCTAGCGATGAAGTCTTTATAGCCACCGCTACCAAAAACCATCATTTATTTGGAAAAAGGATTAAAAAAAAGAATTTGAATGATTTTTTACGTTTTCGTTATGAAGGCGAAGACTAGGAACTCGCCTTCACCTGACAAAGAGGTGGGGAAGTTTAGAAGGAAGTGTTGGGCAAGAATTTCACGCAATTTGATGACTTCATACGTATCGTGGAAATTGCTTGTAGGTTTTTTTTCCGAATATGTACAAGGGCAACTTGAACAGTACTTTCAACTGAGATTTGAGTAAAACAATGACGCTTTCAGATTAACCGCATTTCAACTATACTTGAAAATCCATATTAAGGGCATCGTTAAAAAGACACTCCAATGCTTTAACTACGAGTACTCGTCAGGATTTGTGTCCATCGCCTACCTCTTCATCAAGGTTCTCTACCTCGGCAATGTCGTACTGCAGCTGTGGTTAATGAACTAGTACGTTTATCTACTCACTGAAAAACTGTTTCCTAAAGCTTCCACTTTACGGAAAATCGGTTCAGTGATGATCAACAGTTTTGTGAAAGTTACCAGTACTGCTCGTGCTCATTTGGCCTTTGAGGAACTGACTAACCGTTGCAGTTTCCTTGGCACAAACAAGCACCAGTGGTATGGTCTTGGCGTGATCAAGGATATTATCAACGGTGTCGAATGGGAGTCAAGCGGGTATTTTCCTAGATCCGCTATTTGTGACTTCGAGGTGATATCCGTTTGATATTTTTCGAATATTACGTGTATTTCTCCACCGATAATTGTGTAAACACCTCAGTGAGCTAAATGTGCCTAAAGTTTCCGCTCCACTTGAAAATAACCTATTCCTTTGCCATTTTTACGAAGTTATAGGCAAGTTCATTGAAAAATTAGAAAATGTTTCGATTAAGGTTCGACAAGTTGCGAACATCCAAAAATATTCCGTTCAGTGTGTTCTCGTCATTAATATTTTCAACGAGAAGATTTTTCTTATACTGTGGTTTTGGTGGGTCTCTCCTTATAGTTTGATCCTCTAATTCTTTTTTTTTGAAACAATTGCACAAAGAACTGAAGTTCGTTCACCCACTCGGTGCCTTAAAAAATAAGAGGGTGAAGTACTCGGCGTTGATCAATCCTCGAGGGACGCGCCATGCATTCGACTTTATTAGGTATCGTTTAGAGGTGATTGAATGCATATCTGGCCTTTACAATAATTCGCTGTGGCCTACCGATCTATTGAGCCAGTTTCCCTATCCTCCCAAACAAGCCTGGTACCAATTTGCCGATCCCCGAGGGATGGAAAGCTTGGTGGGCCATGGGCGCGGCTATCGATTCCACGTGTGTTGCCCGGTACCTCCGACCACTGCGCCACACTAACCCATAGGGCCTTACTGCAATCTTTTTGGAATCGCTTAGACTGTATCTGATTCTAAGTGAAACCACTTTAATACTTGCTTACTTGGATACTTGGACGATCCGTCTTCACGAGCTGTGCGGACTCCAGCACTTACGCCATTCGTTCCCTTCTCTCGCAATCGTAGTCCATGGTGGTGGTCTTGTTAAGTTTATAACCAGTTTAATTACCAGTGAAATTATCACTATCACCTTTGTCTTTTGTAATCATGTTAATAATAATAACAACCAATAGTAAGCAATACTGTGATAACCAATAGCCAACATCAGTAATAATAATAATAATAATAATAATAATAATAATAACCAATAACCAATAACCAATAATACCAATACCAATATCAATAACCAATACCAGGATCCTTCACTGTCCTGCTACCAAACTAGTCGCGTGCAGGCAAATCTCCTTCTGATCCAGAAGGGCGGCGACCGCCTGTGGTGGTGGCGACCTGGGGCAGAGTTTGGCCTGGCTCACCTTGGGACTCCAGAGAACCACAATGACCAAACCAGCAAAACTCTGAAAAAAGGAAAAATTATCCTGGGGCCCGCACAACCAGTGAGGACAGCCCATCCAAATATCAAAGTAAGTAATCATGTTAATGATGAACTGGAGAAGGTAGCAGCAAACCTCATTCGATCTAATTGTAACCAAAGCGGAGTTTTCGTACATTACGTCTTGTAGAACTACTAAGAACATCGTTACAAAATAGACTGAAACCGAAGAGCGACGTTTTCCAGAGGCAAAGTTTTTCACGAAAGGAACGGCTTAGCCTTCAAGAAATCCCGCTGATCCTTGTTTGACAGTTTTTGTTAACTACATTTACCAAACGAATATTTATTATCCTTCTAATTTCGTGATTTTCGGTACTTGATACTATTTGTGGCGGCACTCGTCACGTCTTTCTCGTGGTTTTGCGTCCTTCTCTTTCCATGCTTCTCACGTTGGTTCATTGAGCAGCATCTAGAGCTTAGCAGTCTGGAGCGTAACGACTCACAGTCACTAAGTGAGTCTCGAACTTTTCTATATATTCCAAAGGATGTCACCGCACTGCTCTCGTTGATCGGAGTTGCTTTCGTACGATCGTCAGTTTTGCGCATTTTCAAAGCGAAGGTGAAATTCGTTAATTACAATCGTATCAATTGTCTTAGAAACAGAAACACCGAATTTTTGTCGTGAGATTATTTTTCATGTATTTTGAAGCCTTAGAATTTAGTGCATAACTTTTAGGGTGTTGCTTATAACGTTCCAGATTATTCCACGAGCGTTGATCGATTCGTATCTAACTATCTTCATCGCGACGGTGTTTTTGTCTTGCGTATGGTCTCATCACACGCCGGAATCATTTTCGGTAAAGATCTCATCCATGCTTTGTGGAACGCGTTTTATGGAATTGAGAAGAAGGTATCTAAACAAGAATTCAGATTTGCGAGCATACATACAAACTGCTACTAAGTTTTATTGGTTTCTTTGGTCATAGTTAGGTATGAGTCGCTTTCAGTGGTTCTTTAATGAGAACAATTCAGACGGATTCATTATCGTCTGCGTGCGGTGGTCGTAATCCTCTCCAGAACGAGTTGAAATGTGTAACTGAGGTTCGGAATCGAAAGAAGCAGAGTTTCATGTCCCTTTTGGATGTAGGCGATATGAAAACAACGCTGCTACCTATGACACCGGAAGATGTTCGACGTGGCTCAGGTTCCGACGATGAACAGAAATAGCGATGGTTATTTTATGTTTTATATAGTTGCTATGCATATTTGCAATCTTCCTCAATGGACTGGGATCGTCCCTTCTTAAATAACGACACGAAGCTTAATATGGGGTGATATAATCGACGAGTAGTTGGATCTCCGTAAAATGTGCGATTAGCATCGTCCTGAAACGCCGTTCTGAATGCTCATAATCATAACAGAGAATCACTGTCCGTTAATAGATTATTATAGCTATTAAACAATCCAAGCTAATTTCTACCCAACCTCTCTCCTTTGGTATTGCGTAGTATTCAAGTGAAAAGTTTAGAATGTTTCTGTTCTTGTTATGAACCTCTACAAATCTCCTTACCACCTCTTGAACACCTCTTAGTCTTCTCATTCCATAGCGGCTTCTTTGCATGCGCGAATAAGCACTAGCGGAACGTCGGCTACCGGTATGACTTACTCGATGTCCGTCTGTGCGCGTTCCTCCGACACTGCTGCCTGTCGGATGAGTCGAAGATCAGGACGACATCCATAAAAACTTCTAGTAGCTATTCAGCGTAGAATTGGTGGAATTTGTTTATGACTAAGCACATCATTTCTCCACAAACGTTCCATCGGCGTTCTCTTATGGTTGTACATTTCACTTTATTCGCGATTCTAATCTTTGTGCCTTAAAATTTTGAAACTGGTCTCCAGAAAAGGCTGCAGTTCAGAATATCTCTTTATTACTGATTGCTTGTTAATTCTGTAAATAAATACTTTAACTTTTCTTGATTCACATAACTGAAATGGATACCAGAATATGAAGAAGCCCCCAAACCAGATCTCGTACCCCTGGATGGAAATACTTAGCAACTTTGGCTTTCTAATAAGCGAATTGACGAAGAGCAAAGGAGGGTGAAACGGAAAATGAAAAAACGAAGTTTCTGAAACAAACTATATAAAAATTATGGGAAATACAACCACAACGATGCTGAGATATTTGCAAAACTCCAGACCGCAGGTGTCTGCGGTAAAGGAAGAACGCCTTTTTTTACCCTTTCCGGGGGCTAACGCGTTTACCACCACACGATGCGGAGCCTTGGTTTCGCCTCAATCTGGGGAGCGTCAAATCACGTTTACTTTTTATTTGCTGCCTACTACTTCAACAACAGCTTCAGCTTAACTGGGTTCAATGCAGATGTGGGCTCCCCAGATCAATCCCGTTGACGAGCGATTGCTGATGGTGCTGATCGATAGAATTAACTGAGAGACAGGCGAAACGAAGGACCCGCATGGTGTGGTGGTGAACGTGTTAGCTCCCGGAAAGGGTAATACACGCATTCGTTCCCCACTGCAGATACCTGCGGTCCGGAGTTTTGCAAATGTCTCAGCACCGTTGTGGTTGTATTTCCCATAATACCCTGCCGTGAAAAATTCTAATAGGCAGCAAATAAAAAAGCAAACATTTGTATAAAAATTATTGCCACCCATTTCACCTATTTATATTCTACGTGAATTGAAGAGACCTAAGTAATGATCACGTTCGCCATTTGAGCATGCTACCCTTACACAGTAGCCTCTCTCGATTTGAGGAACACATCAAACTTTACGTTTCGAATTGTTGAACTACAAAGAACTTTTGTCCTCTTTTTAATTCCGACTTCGTTACTTTTTTATAACAGTGCGGCCGATTTTTGCACTTAGGTCTCCAGACCGAGACTCCGAATCTATTTGCTTAATGCGGTAAGCGTCGAAGTTAGGAAATGTAGCTCCATAAAAACGGAAATTTAAAAAACTGCCAAATTGTAGGGAGCTATGAAGGCTGTTACAAGGACTGCTTCTGAGACGGCAGACTAATGCTAAGAGGAAATTTGCAAGATGTACGTTAAGGGGACACGCCCACTGTGGATACCGATCGCATCGGCGACAGAACCTGATTCCGACCACGTCGTCTTCACCCGCAATCGATAGTCAGACCCGAACTCTTCTCCTTCTACACTTTTAGCATCTCTTTACTCTAACCTGCTTGAGAAAATCACAGCCAAATCAGTTTTCAAAACTTTCAAAATATTAACTCACTGTTCTATTCTTGAGCAGATACGAAGTTGTCAATAATAATATTTATTCAATACTGGCTGACGTTGCAGTCGTTTCTCCTTGTCGCTACTTAAGAATGAAACACTGATTTTTTGAACAATGTAGAGGTTAGAAGAAAGTCGTTCCTGGGAACCTCGGAATATTAAATCCTTCACCACCAGCCTTCACAGGGCGTGTGAATTTCCAGTACTTGATATTTTACTAACCCATTCGAAGCAATTTATAAGCTTCTTGTACATCACCTGGAAGTGATCGCGTCATGTCGCAGTTTCTTCATTTTTCGATATCGTCGTTTCTTTACTGAACTTTTAGACGTTTTAGTTGTCCTTTTAGCTTGGAAGGTCGGGAAGCCCTATGTCAGAAGATGAATCGCCCAGCGATATTCTCTATTATGCGGCCGAAGGCAGCCTGGCACGTTCTTTTTCATAAAAGTAGAGCGGTGCTGTCTCGAAGATGGATGCTTGCTACAAATTGACCTGTGTTTTACTAAGCTTTTATAAATCGCTAAATAGGGTTATAATAGACGCATTTACACATGCAGATTACGATATAATAAAAGAAGAGGTGAAGAAAGAGTATCGAGCGTGTCCATTATGCCCTGAAATATTCTAGTATAGCCCGATTATAGGTCTTTCTACGCACGAATAAAGCTATTTCCAATAAATACAACAACTCCCAATTACAATAGGCTTTTCAAAACGATCACGAAAATGTAAACAAGAAAGATTAAAATGAAAATGTAAGAAAATATAGCACCAGGGAATTTTAAAAAGTGAAAATACGTCTAAGAGATATATATATTTCCGTTTTTGGTTTGCCCTACTAGATCGGTATCGCTTCAAGTGTGCTTAAGAAAGAAGTAGATTCTTATGAGACAGGGCGTTGGTACCCTCATTGTAAAACTTACGCTCCGGCAAGAAAACTGTTAGGAAAACCAAAAGGAAAAGGAAATTGCTGCACTATTTAATAAGCAGTGTGTCAAGTCATGGATGAGTTTAAAATGTGTTATTTTCATGCCGATATGGAGCGACTGGTAAAGCGACACAGAGAGTGGATAACATTCCGTGACAATCGTGGTAGAACCGCGGCAATGCATTCTGCAATTGCCGACAACGTTCGTAATCTTCAGTTCTTGATCAGGTATATTCATGAAAACAAAGAAGACAAACAACTTTTGTGCTTTCATTAATACAGAATGGAATGATTGACTTGTAGACCTTGTAAATATGAATTAAGGCAGAGGAAAAGGAAGTGGGCCCAATGCCTGAAATCCTAAATGTGCAGTTGTTGTTCTATACGTTTTCATGGAAATATTTTCTATATTTCCTGCAGGCGTAAATGTTCTTTTAGTATTCTCGATGGGATATTTGGACACTTATAGTGAATGATGGTGCTCATAGAAAGGTTAACTATATGATGGAAAAGTTTTCAGAAAAGGGCTGTCGCTTTGGGATACGGACAGTGGTGGAGCCACAGCACTACATTGGGCAACGCAGTGTGCAGCAGCTAAGGTTACCCATAGTTTTCACTTCAGAACATTACTGTACAAGGGTTGTTTTTTATTCTCATAATCTAAACCGAATTCGTGAAATAAGTTTAAATTCGTCAACATTAGGGACCTAATAATAACAGAAATGCTCAGGATATAGTAAGCATTACAATTGTTCTGATTGCAGACTGTGTGCGGACGGGATCACTCTAGGGCTAGGAGATGACGAGTGTTTTGATCACTTTCAACATTCTGCGCTATCTATGAAAATAAGTGCACACAGCGCCTTGTTCTAGAAGGGCGTTTGCTGGCAGTTATGAGCTTCCTACCAAAAAACGCTGTGTATAAAAACCATCAACTACATTCGAAATAGGTGGACACTTGCCTTTCCTGCCCTAGTATACGACTAATAAAACCTTGATTTTCACCATGGATCTCACCTAAAGCTCGTACCATTGCGATCACTTACAACTTTTGGGAGAGACTTCTGTCAACATTGTCTGACATAAATCAACTGTAAACTCATCATTTTGTGTAAATTAAGAGAATAATGAATATCGCTGAACTGAATCAAAGACAATGCATAACTTTTTCTTACTGTATATTATTTTCCAATGGCAGGCTACTATGTGAAATGCAACCGCAACGATGCTGACATATTTGCTAAACTCAGACCCCAGGCGGGATTCGAAGCCGCAATTATCCCTTCTTGAGACTCAGGTGTTACCCACTGCACCACCAAGGCCTCTGCCTTGCTTTTCTCTCAACCGACTTTTTAGCCTATTGGTGTTATAAGCAACTTCGGGAGTGATTTGGTGAGCACAAATCGGCCTAGGGGTTTCAGTGGTGCGGTATGTAACACGTGAGATCCCGAGAAGTGTAATAAGTTTGAAACTGGCCTGAGGTCTAAATTTTGCAAATATCTCAGCAACATTGTGAATAAAAGAACATTGAGATTTTTGTTTCCGCGACGACTTTTATTTAAAAAATTTAGGTTGTTCGATTTTTCCTGCAAAGTGGTAAGTCCCCGCGTGGCTTGGCACCATTTCTCGTGGCTGACAAAGATGGTGTGACACCAATTCATATTGCAGCTGCTGGAAATGGTAAGATCCTACAGGTTGGTGCTAGCTGAAGAAGCATGTGCAAAACCAATTTCGATAGTTGTGTACTACAATACTTCGATTTTGAATAAACTGCTGCAATTCCCAGAAACACAATGGAAGAGAAGTAGACTTTATCAAAGATAATGCTTGGTCTTTAGCAAAAAGCAGCTCTCTTAATTTTCAGTAAGTATTCATCATCGCTTTCCATTAATCATTCTCTTACTAGCAGACCAATCCTATTTGCTCCCTTATAGAATCTTTGTTGTCTTTGGAAAACAGAGAACTAAGTGCTTTCATTTCTTTGTGTTGTTTCACAGTTCTTTGTTTTGGTTTACCCATTGAAGATTGCTCAACATATTGTGCGTATTTAAAGCAGTGAGAGACTCCTTACTTACTTGATACTTGATACTTGATACTTGAATGAGCCGTCCTCATTGGTTGTGCGGGCCCCAACATAAACTCCGTTTTTCGGAGATTTGCTGGTTAAGCCATTATGGTTCCCTGGAGTCCCGATGTCAGCCTGGCCAAAGTCTGCCCCATGTCTTCACCACCACGAGTACTTGCAGCCCTTATGGATCAGAAGAAGATTTACCACCATGCGACTTTGGTACCAGAACGGTGGTGGATCCTGGTATTGCTTTACTCTTAGCTAGGTTACCTGATGGAAACGCCGTACTCCTCAGCTTGGGAGACCCGGCAGGGGATGAATCTCCGCTGTACATCGCAGCCACGATTAGGCGGTAAACCGTTGGGAGGAGTGAGAGACTCCAGGCATATTAAAATCATTGCTTTGAGAAATAATAGATAAAACAGCTTATGCCTTTGTATTCAGGATTCTCTTTTACTGAAATTGTATATTACTGGAGTCCATTCAACAAAAAGCCTTTGCTTAGAGCTTTTACTTGGTTAACTTGTTCGATGTTTACGCTAATCTGAACAAGGATCTAATTCCCTAATACAAGTTTTAGATGTTCATCGATGCTGTTTGCGCTACGGACGATGTGTTCGGTCTGGCACAGGACAAGCGAGGACGTGGTCCCCTGCACTATGCAGCTTCGAAGGCTAGTGTAGAGAGTGTCAGACTCATTCTAGGTAAACTGAACTTCATATGTTTTTTCTTCAATAAGCAGACACGAGGTTGTTAATATAGAATTTATTAGAATACAATAGCTGACGTTTCGGCGGTTTCGCCTTCTTCAGAGCCGTTTATTTGTTGTAAGTATTTAAGTTAGTTGATGGATAGCCGCCGCATAGAGTAATACATGTGTGAACTTCATATATCTCATAATTTGATACAAAGTCTCTTTGTTTCTGTTCGGGGCAACTTGCCACACCTACAACAAGGAGGAGATTTATTTCAGCTAACAGGGAACATTCATAACATCAACACATTCTTTAATTCAATGTTCAACTGCTACATCGACAATTAGTACTAAGTAACTCCCACGACCGACTTTCTATCAACCTCGGCATTGATCAAGTAATTCTTCGTATTTTCGTTGTGCAAACGCGAGGTGTTATTATTATTTATTCACGAATAAGCTGACATTTCGGCGGATTTCGCCTTCCTCAGAGCCTGGAAAGGTCAAGTTGATGGCAATCCACTCGGCCAGACGCCTCCATAACCAAACAAAGAAGCTCTAAACCAAGATTTCAATCACATTGAACACAGCTCTGCACACTCACCGCTTTCTATGAGGTTTCCACTAAGTATGTCACGTAGAGACCAACCGCACAGAAATCACATGGAAGCATAATGTGCCCCTCACATTAGAAAAGCAGTTTTATATACTGCCTCATTATCACGCGTGATAATGAGGCATTCTTCCCTGCGATTCATTTTCGGATTTCTGGAGTTAATCCAGAATGCCTCGAGAGTTTTTCGCGCCTGTGTTCTTGATTCGCGTGCGAGGATCGTGACACATACTTCAAAGTCCTCTCCGTTATGTCTCTGGGTCCTATGCGTGCTTAGTGGAGTATTTGGTCTATGTTTGCCGGATAGGTGTTCTTTTATGCGGACACAGAGGGGTCTGCCCGTTTCGCCAATGTATTCGTCACCGCACGTCTTACAGGAGATCAGATAAACTATACCCGAGCTCATGCAATCACCGTCTCTACCACTGGGGCAAATTTTGCAATTTTGAGTTGCACATAGACGGTCATATAGGCGGTTACGAACTAGATGGCGCTTAAGATTACTCGGTGGTATTTCAACTACGCTTACCGAATTCTCTAAGCCCGCCCTTCTTAAGCAGCGTTTTATAGCTGTACTTATATCGTTTGAGATGAAGGGTAGGATAAACGGAACCCTTCTATCGCTAGAGATGTTGTTTGGAGGCCTAAGAACAGGCCTAGGAGGAGGAAAAAAAATGTTTGGAGGCTAAGGAACATCCACAATAGGATAGGTAATGTGCAAGAAAATTCAAGGCTAACCGTGTTAGGTGGCATGACTCTCCCTGACGGTGCGCGCTCGTTATTGGAATTGGGGCCGAGTTTCTCACCATCCGAACCCATTTCTAAGATAACCTTGCGTAGGATCGCATGCGGTTTACATGAACTTCAAGATAGACTCCGCAAAAAAGCTAGAGAAAGCGCTAAATAGGTGCCAACAACACGAAGTGGGGGCCCTACCGATAGCACCATTTCCCCCGACGTTCTTCAGACAACAAGAGCCCAAAAATGAAGTTGATGTTAATTTTCGGATGTTTGCGAATGAAACTCTCAAAGTCCTTAATCACTATCGCGCGAAAAGATACAGCTCAAACTTCAAAAAATGGCTTCCAATTTTGAACGTACAAATTTACCTATCAGAAAATGGCTACATTACAAGGTGGTACCGAAAGCCAAGTAGTAAAAACACCTTGGTTCATTACTCTCCTCTCACCCCTCTCACACGAAAAGGACGCTTATAAGAAACATGTTTCGAACAGCAACCAACGTGTGCACGGGAAGAGAGCAGAGAGAGGAGTCCCGGAACTTGGCACGGCAAATAGCCATTTCTAACGGCTACGAAACTGTAACTCAGGATAGGTGTAGGGGAAATCCTAGGCCTCCAAACAACATCTCTAGCGATAGAAGGGTCTCGTTTATCCTACCCTTCATCTCAAATGATATAAGTACAGCTATAAAACGCTACTTAAGAAGGGCTGGCTTAGAGAATTCGGCAAGCGTAGTTGAAATACCACCGAGTAATCTTAAGCGCCAGCTAGTTCGTAGCCGCCTATATGACCGTCTATGTGCAACTCAAAATTGCAAAATTTGCCCCAGTGGTAGAGACGGTGATTGCATGAGCTCGGGTATAGTTTATCTGATCTCCTGTAAGACGTGCGGTGACGAATACATTGGCGAAACGGGCAGACCCCTCTGTGTCCGCATAAAAGAACACCTATCCGGCAAACATAGACCAAATACTCCACTAAGCACGCATAGGACCCAGAGACATAACGGAGAGGACTTTGAAGTATGTGTCACGATCCTCGCACGCGAATCAAGAACACAGGCGCGAAAAACTCTCGAGGCATTCTGGATTAACTCCAGAAATCCGAAAATGAACACGCGTGATAATCAGGCAGTATATAAGACTGCTATTCTGATAGGAGGGACACATTATGCTTCCATGCGATTTCTGTGCGGTTGGTCTTCACGCGACATAGTGGAAACCTCATAGTAAGCGGTGAGTGTGCAAAGCTGTGTTCAAAGTGATTGAAATCTTGGTTTGGAGTTTCTTTGTTTGGTTATGGAGGCGTCTGGCCGAGTAGATTGCCATCAACTTGATCTTTCCAGGCTCTGAGGAAGGCGAAATTCGCCGAAACGTCAGCTTATTCGTGAATAAAGAATAATAACACCTCGCGTTTCCTCAACAAAAAAGCGAAGAATTAGTACTAAGTACTTTCTAAAATCCTATTTGGTTGTACAATGTGCTTCATGTCTCTTTTTGAAGCGATGGCCCACAATCGTAACAGGCTGTTGGTCAGTATGATAAGAAATGCACTGTTCCCAGAAATATAAAGTTGCAGCAGCGCATAGGGCTTATCTTTGCTTTGTAACGGACAGTTAGAAGAGGGTGGACGAGTTTCTGGGTGGCACATACGGAGCGACATACGTTATGAGCTATGCTGGTTCATTATGAGTACCATGTATTCGATGTGAAAAAGTGGGACGCTTCCAAATTAAAACTGCTAAGCCCTAGTTCGTTTCAATATTTCTTTTCGTTCAAACAGGAACTATTAGAACTTGTAGATATTTTCACGTTGGACATAAGTTCTCTTATTCCACTAAAATGAAATGATGAATTTCTGGAACCCATGACATATAGTTCCTCCACTTCTTTGTGCCAAGGTTCACGTTTCGAAAACGAAAGCAAGTAAATGGACGAGACTTTGTCCGGAATGTTCTCCAATATATTTTCTGTGTTTGCAGCGACTGCTTCTACGTCGAAAATTTTAAAAACTAATTTCTTCAGGAAAAAACCAAGTTAGATTTCGTTGTTGTCTTTTTGAAAGTTTCAATTCTAAACACATTTAAATGGAGATGGCATCACATAAAGGGCAAAGGATAAAGCTCTCGGCGTTGATCAATCCATGAGGGATGCGCCATGCATCCGGCTCCATTAAATATCGTTGGTGGTGATTGGATGCATATCTGGCTTTTACAATGACCCGCAGTGGCCTACCGATGTATCGAGCCAGTTCTGCTATCTTCCCAGACACGTCGAATTCAATGTCGTTTGGTACCAATTTACCGACCCCGGAAGAATGGAAGACTTGATGAGCCATGGGAACGGGGATCGATCCCATGTGCGCGTTGCAGGGCGCCTCCGACCACTGCGCCACATTCGCCCTTATGACACCACATAAAAGTTAAATATGCGGTTGCAAAGTATATTATTTTCTATATACCTGTTATACCTGTGAAGTGCTCAACTTTTCAAATATTCTAATGGTGGAGAAATTATCGTCTCTTGTCGAAAAATCAACGTTATGCAGGTTAAAACTAGGTCACGCCTTGGCTGACATCCATTCCGCTACCAAAACATCTATCCCATTCGATTTTCGAACGATCGCATTGACCGGAACCATTTCCGCAATATCTTCGAATTCAATGTCATTCAGATTCGCCATCACTCGGTCTACCTGTTGATGCCAAGGATTCAAGCGGTCTCACTCCTTTAATGTGTGCTGTTGGAGTTCCCTTTGCACAAGGTGTGTGGACTATACTCTGTATAGCAACCTTCAAAAGGAAATTCTACTGAGGAGAACAAAGCAGAGTAGCTATCGTTATCTCTTTGATCTTCTATAGCCATCAATAGTGCATATATTGAGCGGTAGGTAATTTCAGATTCCGGTGAGTCCAAACAGTGTTTAATTGATCATTCCTGATTCTGCGTTTTAGAACTGTTTCAATTCCTCACACAAACAAGTGTTAAGGCTTCTTATCCTGTTACTCAATGCTGAGTGGAAAGACGGCAGTGTGACTACAGAAGTATAAATCCACCATAATCAACGTTGATCCTTTTCTGATGGCGGTTCGAGTGTTCGGATCGAAGAAACGTTTCTAGCCAAAAATGACCAAAAACTTAATATGAATAAAAACAAAGTCCACGATAGAACTGTTTGCTATAATCGCGGCCTTAACTGGCGATATGCTTGATAGTGTATGAAAAGAACACATGAACAGTCAGTGATCGAAAATTAATGGTCGCACTGGCTTCTGAGTTTTGAGTAGACATCGATGGATCGCTTGCTAGTACATCTTTAAAAGATAGGTGATTGCACCAATGTGAAGAAACTAGAATATCCTTTACTGCCGCCAACTCATGGTGAAAACATTCCAATTTGTTGTACGGCGAGCATCATCCGATTAAGCAAGCAAGAACCAACGAACTATGCAAAAGCATTCCTACTTGAGGAGTTGATGTATGCCGTCTTCTGGCGCGTCGCAAGGAGATGTCGATCTCAGCTCGAAATCGCGACGGTTTGTCGGCGATCCACCTAGCAGCGATCGCAAACAACCTCCCAGTATTGAAGCTATTTGCCGAGGAGATGGGCAAGAGTGTAGAGGTTAGGACTACTCTGTTTCTCTACTTTTTTGCGCCTTTTTTTTTACTATATACGATAAACATTGGAACAAATAAAGCGAAATACGTCATAAAGCCACTGATACTTTAATTCATAGAAGATTGCATTAATCCCATGTCCAATGGATTCCTCAGGGAGATTACTAAGCGATGGACTACGCCCGAACAAAAACCACATGCATTTATTTGTAAAACATGCATAGCACAGAAACTGATCTGCTTCTTAACCAGATGTACTGGAGGAATTTAAAAGCTTATCTACTGAACTAAGGTCTCTTTACATACGTTGTTTTTTATCAATGCTATTGATGTAGGCGTGGGTGAAAAATTACAAACATAAAACTCTTTTTAAAGTCGATGTGCCGATGCCGACAACTTTTCTATTGACATCTTTTTGAAATAAGGAGATTTTTTTGTCTCAACTGGTTCGCGGATATATGAGCGAGGTTGTAAGGCTTTTACATACTATTACGCGGCTGTATCAGTGTACCCGCATTTGAACTAGAGCACCAAAACGTCATTTTATGATTTCGAACGTGGACAGGTTTAGGGAGAATGGGATGCCGTAGTGCTAGCGAATTTATAGGAAGGCACAATGAAAAGACACAATCGTATGTATTCAGAGCACTTGCGTATTGGTAATTGCCGAGTTAATTGTAGAAGCATTACCTACAAAACAGGAATTGAAACTCTAATATCCTATTTCCCAGGACCGACCTTCAGTCAACTCCGGATTTGTTCAAAAATTTGTTGTTTTGTTGATAAGCACTCACGAAGTTGTTAATATACCATTTATTTCTCCACAAACGCTGACTTTCAGATGGATTTCGCCTTCTTAAGAGCCTAGCAAGGTCAAGTCATCCATAATCTAGTCGGCCAAACATTTCCATAACCTCAACAAAAGGCTACAGTATCTAATTTTCAGTGGCATTAGATATACAACAGCTTCTCTACACACTCAATGCTCTCTATGAATCTTCCACTGAGTATTCGATGTGCAGACCAACCGTGCAGAGTTGACACGGATTGGTAATGCTCACGCTAAGATATCAATGTGGAGTAATGTGTGGAATCACGCATTCGAACGAGGGATTTCTCTCCGTGATCCATTTCTAGATCTTTGGAATTTATCCAGAATGCTTCTAGCATTTTTACATGCTGAGGTTGTAGATTGCCCGCTTCAACTTCAAAATCGTCGCTGTTATTGTTTAACTGTCTGTGCACAACGCAAAATGGAAAAATTTGCCCTGATGGTAGAGATGGTGATTGCATGAGTTGAGTTCGGGTACGGTGGCCCTAATCGCATGTAAAGCGTGTGGAGGAATATGTTGACAAAATGAGTAGGCAACTGTGCGTATAAAAGGACACCTAGTGGGTAAATTTAAAGTTAAAGGAAATACACTGTTAGACGTATATAGGAAACAGACATAATGGGGAAGGTTTTGAAAACAAAGTTAGAAATCGTGGTTCCGCTGTCGAGATTATGAAGGCTGACTAAGTTGTGGTTAATTTCTTCACTTCTCCATGCTTCAAAGAGCGCAGATACGCCAAACGTCAACTTCTGTGTATAAATAAATAGTATAGCACCGACGTCGTGTGTGCCTATCAAAAAAGGAAAAAAAAACGACTGCTACCATTCTATTTTTCCTTCCTATACAAGTCCTGGAGGAATAACACAATGGCTGTGATGCCCGTCGTCACGAGCATGGTGCCAGTTCGGTTCCGCCCTGGACCAACCAACCCTCTCATCCCTCCGGTGTCGGGAAATTGGTACCGGACTTGTCTAGGAAAGAAATCACTTTCTGCAATCCAAATGGGAACACACCAGCCCGACTATCTCAGGACTCCAGGGAGAATTGCTCGGCCAGCATTGTACAACATTCAAGATTAAATGAATATCCTCAAACAGCAACCGAAGCAACACGTAAAAACTTGAAAGACCTTCGTCGACGATAGATGTGAAGAAACGAATCGAATGTGAGAAGTGGTAGGATCCGCACACTAGACGTGAATGCGGGTTACATAAAATAAATAAAAAAAATAGAGGACCAAGTCTTAATCAACGTTAATCAGGTGTTCGACAACGATAACTGCACACCACTTCATTATGCCGCAGAGCAAGGACACTACGAAATCGTGCAATTTTTACTGGAATGCGGTGCTAGAAGTACTACGAGTTGAGTTTTATTCTTTATTGAGTGTCCATTGTGCACGTGTTCACCGGCAGTTGTTATCCAGCTTCCTTCGATTTTTTCATAATCACACCAACAGCTAGGCCTCGAACTATTCCAATCTTTGTTGACGGTGTTCATATGGTCTACGGTTATTTAGCAATAACTCAGTTCGAACACCATAGATTCATAGAAGAATATTCCAGAAATGATGTTGACAGACATATTTATTTTATTGACTGACTAGTCTCCATTTTAGCGACAAATGGGATGCCAGTCCTGCTCACTACGCTGCCCAGTTCAGTGTCAGCTCCCTTGATCTCATTCTGGCGAAAAAGAATTACGTGGTACGTTTTATTTTAAATTGTCTGTAATAAAAAAACGGTAAAGCTATCGGCGTTGAACAATCCTTGAGGGGTGCGCCATGCATTCGACTTCATTAAGTATCGCTGGAGCTGATTGAATGCATATCTGGCCTTTACAATGACTCGCGGTTGCCTACCGATGTTTCGAGCCAGTCCTGTTATCCTCCCAGACAAGTCTGATAAAAGTTTGCTGACCCCGGAGGGATAGAAGACTTGGTTGGCCATGAGCGCGGAAATCCATTCCACGTGTGCCCCAGTGGCGCCTCCAACCACTGCGCCACACACACCCTGCTATCTTGTATAGGGAAAACAAAACATCAGCGAAGCCGTCTTATGAAGAAGGAGAATGTGTTTGTTAAAGACTAGGATGTGTTTTTCAAAATTCAAAAGTGTTGCGACCACATAGAAAGCTTCCACTCGTTCTAGAATGTAAAAAAAACAGAACACTTTTTCACATTTTCAGGAGATCAAAGACAGAGAAAACCGATCGTGTCTGATGTGGGCTGTGTGCGCTGGAAATGTAGAAGTGATTGAATACCTTGTAAGGAAAACGTCGCCAGATCGACAAGCTAGGGTTAGTTTGGACATCTGAGTACTCTACTGAAGGGCAGTAGCACGAATTGCTTGTGATTTGAATGACAAAGAGAAAATTAGTGGTCGTCAACAGGAGCGAAATATTCGAAAACTGAACTACCATAGACAGACGATAAAACTTCTGAGGGATCTAAAATGCTGGACATTTTCAATGTAATGACAGACTTTCTTGACGACACGTCTATTTTAACTTTTATTACAGGATAATCACGGTTTCACAGCGCTGCATCTGGCGGCCATGGTTGGAAATGAAAACATCTGCAAGGTGCTTGTCAGACAGGGCTGGAACCTCTCAGTGAGTTTGGAACAACGAGCTAGCCATCAGTTATGGTGATATGGTGCCAAAAAGCGATGAATTTGGGAAAGCGCATCGTTACCACCTTAGAATGGAATAATAACGTGCAGAGATCCTACTAAATACGGTTAAAGCACCACAATGGCCAAGACGGAATCCCAGTCAATGGTTAAACGCAGCTTTGATTGCATCGTCTAAGCTAGTAATCGGGTAGGGATAAGCATCTTATTGCCATTGCTTCATCTAAGTACTTGGTAATTAGAGAGAGTGATAATGACGGTGGAACTTTTTCAAATGATGATATGTTCAATATCTATGAATAGAAACTACTTCGTCGAAGGTAATTCATTTGACACTTTTTAGCTTACCTATAGGAGGTGTTAAGGAACGAGACAAGCTGGACAATACACCATTACACTTGGCGGCCGGACGTGGGCACACAGATGTCGTTCGTTTCCTGGTGACCGCTGGAGCGAACATGAACGAAAAGGATGCGATGGATCGGTGGGTATTACGGCACCTTCTCGGAACCGAAATCAGATCCACTTTTTCTTTAGGACCCCGGTGTACTGGGCATGTTTCGGCGGTCAGGCGCATACACTCTACTGCATGATCAAAGAGCTTGGATTCGAGTGGCGTACTACTGATAAGTAACACCTTAATAATAGAAGAAACTCCGAAAGATATTATTTAGGATAGAACAATAAGTAATTTCGATGATGAACTTTAAGCAGTAGAGCAATATATTCTTATAACGGAGACTATATTTCTTTAAAATAACATGTTTCAGCAGAAATAAGCATAGTTTCTCTTTCCATGTGAAGGTACACGGCACTGAATAATATATGAAAGCAAATTATAGCCAAAAAACTCCATATTTAGCCACGACGATTCTAAGATAGTCGCAAAACTTGGACCCCAGGTTACCCTTTCCATGGACTCGCGCGTTACACACTGCACCACTGACTCCCCTGTTTTGTTTTTCTCTCAGCTATTTTCCTACTTAATTCTACCATCAGCAATCAAGAGCTGCATGTTGTTGTGAATTTGGGGTGATCTAAACTCAAAGCGAGAATGGAAAGTGGAAGAAACGACAAAAGAAACATATCACATACACTTTTTGTAGAAAATAAAGTTGTTCACATGATCGTATTAACAACAATTAACAGGGTATAGGACTTGGGAAACCTGAAACTCCAACTTAAAAAATGTCTTCCAGCGAGTGAAAATTTGCCGCTTTTTCTGAAAATAACAGACCGTTAGGGGCGCGTGTGGCGCAGTGGTCGGAGGCGCTCTGCGACACACACGTAGAATCGATCCCGTCGCCCGTGGCTCGCCAAGCCTTCCATCCCTCCAAGTTCAACAAATTGGCACCAGTCTTGTCTGGGAGGATAGCAGCACTGGCTCGATACATCGGTAGACTACCGCGAGTCATTGTAAAAACCACATGCATTCAATCACCTATAACGATGGTTACTGAAGTCGAATGCAGGATGCATTCCTCAGGGATTGATCAACGCCAACAGTTCTATCCTTTTATCCTTTTTATCAGATCGTTCAGTTTCACATATGACTGCTATCCTTCTTTTTCCTTTATGGTTTCCTTGCATGGGTAAACCAATCAGTTCTTGCTTACAATTTGCAACCTCTTATCGGAAAAAATTCAAATGTGAAGGAACTGCGGAGATGAGTTGTACGGTATTGCAGACATCGCCGGGTTCCGATCACCGATGCTCTCGGACAAACTCCACTGCACGCGGCGGCCTTCGCCGGATTCACGGCTTGCATCAACGTTCTGCTAAACGTAAGCCTGAAATTAATCATCTAGCTCAGCTCACTCCCAATAGAAAACCTGTTGAGGTTGTGAGTCTACTCGCACTATAACTTGGATATCTGGATGACCCGTCTTCACTGGTGCAGGACTCATCATAATTTCCATTTCTTCGGAGTTTTTCTGGTGTAGCCTTCGTGGCTCTCTTGAGCCCTGAGGTCAGCTTAGCGAAAGTCTTCCCCAGGTCGTTACCACCACAGGCAGTCACCGCCCTAGTGGATCAGAGAGAGATATATCACCAAGCGACTAGTTTGATACGAGGACGGTGGTGGATCCTGGTGTTGGTTTACTCTTCACTGCGATTCCTGATGGAAACGCTGGACTCTTTCTCAGCTTAGGAGACCGTGCTGAGGAATGAATCCCCCACCCCTAAATCGCAGCGCGATGCTCGGGAACACATCATCTATGATGAGGCCGTAAACCGTTGAGAGGATTCGGATTGTTCCGTATTCCTTGGACTATTCTCTACACATCTTCCAGCTTGCGAAGATGATCAGTGCGCGGTTTCTGACCGTCTACATCTTGATAACCTCGCCACTATTTGTTCAATCACATTGAATTATATCTTTTCTTTCTTTTAAGAGCCAGAGGGTAGATCTCGCGCATTTTCCAGCTCCGGAATTGAAGGAGTTGTCTAATTGAAACTAGAAACATGACTAAGAATAGATGAAAATACTAGTGTACGAGATCATTCCTTAGACCATTACCACTTCCATCGCTGAATCTATTCCTAGCCGGCGAGAAGAGGAAACGCACTGCAGATTTCTGTTTAAATTCGTTGACTGATTATGTTAAAGTCGACTAAAGTTCCTTTTGTCTCGTATTCCTATCCGGCAGCTCTCTTCGCCATATCTTTTGATAATTAGATCCTTTCCTTAGTAATTCGTAATTCATCTTTGTCACCCTGCCATTGCGAATTGATCACATCACATCTCGATAGTAATACCAATTCGTCTGCTGTTCGTCTTTTTCGGTTCTGACTCCCAGAAAACACACAGCATCAAATCGCTGCCATGTGGATTGAGCTTCGGCTAAGTCAGCTGGTTTTCGCTAGTGACGAGCCAGCAAATATAGTACCGTAGATAAGCGAGCTCTCTGCTTAACGTTTGGGTAGTCCAAGGAGATCATTTCATGACAGTTCCTCAGGCTAAATGCCACTCAATAGTGAAGTGATCAAGACTAGGTGTCTTCCCACGTCGAGTTTAGTCAAACTTGAGCGTAGCTCCAGCTCGTCATTTGAGCGTAAAATGTGGTTGAGGGCCGAGATTGCGGTGAACCGCCACGAGTTATGTTCAGGCATCTAGTGAAGAAGTTAGACTTGTCATTATAATGTTACAAGAAACCTGAACTAATGAAAGAGGTAGTTAAAAGGCAACTTAATTAGTAAAGGGTTAGGGAGAGTTTACTGAATTCCTAAGCTAACTCAAATTATTAGTGATACCGACTTGTTCTCTTACGCTTTTGAACCTAGTCAAATATAGTCGCCCTCTTACATTTCCGCTTTTTACCTACACTTGTAACAACAGCTTTAATTACAGATTGAAGCGGAAGATGATTGTCTCATATCACCGCTAACCGGCTGGAAAGACAAACACGGTAAATCCATTGCGATTCACATTAAAATTTCTTTAGGAAGCTCTTTGAAGATGTTAAAATTCCAGCATTTCCATTTTACTTCGCGTTCTGATAGATGATAACGCAGCTCATAAAACTACTGGAATCTATGAGCTCCGTTCCTTTAGGGCTCAAATTCGACAGAGCGTCTATCAAACTGCAAAAAAATCTTTAAAACCTAGTACATCTGCTAAATCAAAAAAAAAAACATATATTCTACCGGGTTAACCAAGCTACCGTTTCGTATAAGGTCGGCATGGCATCAAATGTCGACGGGAAGATCTCTCTTCAATCACAAATGATGACGAATTCTGGTTATGAAGATCGTAGAGCTCTTAGACAAGGCTAATATGGGATTGAAGGAAGAATTACGCTCAAGTACTATTCAGCCACATCCATGAAGAAAACAAAATCTTCAAGCTGAAATCAAACTCCCACACATATCTGGAAACATTCACAACTGACGAATGGGAGATTATGAATCGAAACAAATTAGAACTCAGAATATGTAAGTACGGATTGTACAAATGAAATAAACATAATGTTGACCTAAGGAGCTAATTTATAGTGCAATACAATGGTTATCTATTTTTATCCTTACTTTTTACATGATTATAAGGATTCTAGTTTTTACAAAGATTCTTCGTGAGCTGTACAAAAATTTTACAACCAAGATATCACCATTCTACAACGATATTAACATCGATGTCAAAGGAGGGGTTAGGCGAGGTGATACCATCACGCCAAAATTATTCACTGCCACCCTCCAGAACGTCATGCGAACATTGGAATGGGATAATTTGGGAGTGAAAATCGATGATCGGCATCTACACTACCTTCGCTTTGCTGATGATATCGTCGTTATAACACCAAGCACTAGCCAAGCAAAACGCATGCTTACCGACTTTGATAAAGCATGTGGAAAGATTGGACTTATAAAATAAATCTCACAAAAGTGATGGTCATGAAGAACGGATTGGTTTCGCATGCACCATTCACGCTCAACGGAACGAATGTCTCCGAATGCTCCAGTTGTGTCTGTCGGAAAATCAACATGTTGAACGATATAGCTCCAGAGTTGAGCAGAAGGAAACGAGCAGTTTGGAGAGCCTTCAAAAGCATCGAGGATGTAGTGAAGAGGACAAAAAACACCTGACTCCGTGCCCAGGTTTTCGCCTCAACGCTACTTCCTACCTTAACGAATGCATCGGAAACCTAGTCGTTGCGTACCCTGGATGAAAGATCACTAATCGTTATTGAACAGGCAATCGAAATGACGATGCTAGGATTATCCCATTTCACACAAGTAAGGGAAGGCAACCTGCGTCAGCGATCAAAAATCGAAGATGCCGTTCTGTACGCCAAACAGTCGAAGATAAGGTGGGCTGGACACGTAGTGCGTATGAATGACAACCGATGAACAGGAAGATCACCGACTCGATGGTTAGAGTTCTTCACGGGAAACCCAGATGAAAGATATGATCCTGGACGAGTCCCTAGAGCGAACAGAACCCACTATGCTACTCTTGACAGGGAAAAATGGAAAATTTATGGGCGCGCATTCGAGTCACTCAACGATCAACGGGACTGCAGGCGATACAGGTGATACTTTTTACACGACACGTCTTTACGTCTACTGTGTGGATCCCATCACTTCTCGTATTCGATTCGTTTCCTCGCATCCATTATCCACGAAGATCTTCAACTTTTATGTGTGCTTCGGCTACTGCTTGAGGATTTTCATTTAATCTCGAATGCCGTAGAACGCTGGTCGAGCAATTCTTGCTGGAGTCCTGAGAGGATTGCAGAGAGCGATTTTTTCTCGGACAAGTCCGGTACCAATTTGCCGATCCCATTAGGATGAGAGGCTTGGTTGGGCAGGAGCGGAATCGAACTAGCACCATGCTCGTGATGACCGACATCACTACCAATGTGGTTATCTATTAGAAGTTTAGAACATTCTACAGCATTTCGGATGGCAACTATACCGAATTCGCATGAGCAGGAGATGCAATGCTCAATATGCCGTTCGACTCCGGAGCGAATTCGGGAAAAATTCCCATTTCAGTTTAAGTTATCCTGAAGGATGTGGACGTGTAGTGTACCAGTAAATTCTTGTGGATTAAACTAAACTCGCGGTCATTGTAGAAAGGTTGGAAAACCATGGCAACGTTTTTCTGGTGTTCTTCTCGAAAGATAAGAGACGTTCTTCCCCTACCTTTTACAGAAGACAACTATTTAAGTATAGGATTCACACACTAGGTTAACCACTCATCTCTACTTTTGGTGACGACCAAAAACTTCTTCGCCGTCTGTGAAGGAGGTGAATTCAGAAAGTATAGTGTGTAATTCGGCACAATTTCAAGACCTGCGCTTGTCTGGATGCTCACACATTGTCGACTGCTACAAATTACTGCTGTGGAGATCTTCCTTTGGCCTGCTAGGTAGTTCAGATAATCTGAGAGTTTTGCAGTGTGCAAACAAATTAGACCATTTCAAACTTGTGTAAAACGTTTTTGTTCACCTCAATTTTAACCTATCCCGACATGAAGATAGCAAGGCCTTTGATGGTCCCGAATCACCTGTGTGGTTCAGCCGTCATCAGCCTCGTTATTGCAGGGGAGACGGCACTGCATGTCGCATGCACTCGCGGCAAAATGGACTGCGTTCTGGCACTTCTGAAGGGTGGAGCAGCTCCAAATGCCGTCAACGACGCCAAGAAGACATGCTTGCAATGTGCGATCGACAATAAGCACAGTAATGTGAGTTCGGCAAGCACAGTAATCTCTTACCATAACATCTATTTAGCTCATTGTCTGCCACAGTAAGGTAGGAACCTAAGAAGGTAGATATAAACGAGTTCACTAGTGAACGTGAACATCTACGAGATATTCGGAGACAGAACGGCTCCTGCACTATTCGACTTATTTCTAGTAAAATCGGTACATTTTCCTACAGGAATTCATTTGCTACTTCATTAAGTGGTCACCTTTTTGTCCGATATGCCCAATACTGACACTTAAAAAGATGTTTCAATGGCTACATGTGCCCAATATTTACATAGTTCAGCTCAAATCTATACGACCCCAATCCAACTACAATTTTAACCCATTGAGCCACACATTTTCAGATAGCTGAGTATCTGCGTTCTCAAGGCGCACTTGTTTTCACAGAGCTAAGCGAAACAGCAGCCCGAGTCATTCAAAGCTGGTGGCGAACAGTAACCATTCGGGGACGTCTTCGACAAATACGAATATGATGAGGCAATACATAAGTGCGTATGGAAATATTTGTTTGTCAAGGACATAAAGACATTTGTTCCAAAGAATTTCGAACCTAAGACAAAGGAATATAACTACAACCGATTCTGCAGAAGTAGAGGACAGTGGTTGCACAATTAGCAATAAACAACACACACGCCGTTATCAATGGTAATTTAAAGGCTGTCATTCCGGAAATTCTCACCATTATCACCGCTAGAAATACCTGGGGAAACGAACAGCAGGCCGTTAATGTTCTTACTGCTCACGATTAGAGGTATGGTTTTGGCTTAAGTTGATTTATCTACAACACATAGAAAACGGGACGAGGATAAACTACAAGCCATAGAAATTCATGATAACTGCAAATCAAAAACCCTGACATCGAACAAGCACATTAGGAATGTTTTTTGAGCAAAACACAAATAATTTCCTTGTAAGCCCAATATTTCATAAGCGAACGCCTAAAAGGACGCTATAACAAACGGACGCTGCCCTGCTCGACTTGTTGCTGAACAGATTGATATGGTAGAAGATGGACGGTCCCTTTCTCCAGTTCAACCACTATTTCAGCAGTTTTATCCTGATAATCTGGTACGATTGCTGATTCGACATTATCCTTTAGGACTTCCGCATATACCTGAAATCATCAGTACAGAACAACGTTTAATGCGTAAAATTATACAAAGAATCCCGAAATCTATTAAAAATACGCCATCCGTGAAACCACAGGAAGTCCTGTTCGTGTCAAAATTTTGCAAAACGTACACTTGATATGAATTAACTTCTCTATGTATGCTCCTCATTAGTAACTTCAGGACCCAGTTTCTACTTATCATAGCACAAAAATGGACAGAAAAGCCAAACTTTAAATGTATTAGTTTTTACTTACTGCCTGCTATTTTTTCACGATATCTGAAATATAACCACAAGGACGCTGAGATATGAACAAAACCCGGAACTTTAGGTGAGCTTCGAAACCGCGAAACCGAAACTGCCCAAACCGAGGCTTCACGCGCTATCCACCACACCAACCGAGCCCCTTGCTTTGCCTTTCTCTCAGCCTCGTTTTTACTAAACAAAAAGCAAAACGTGAAAAAAGTAAAAATAGAAAGAGTAGAAAGCAAAACTTAGTTGGCGTTGTTTCTCAAACATTCTATCACATTGTCGTCCTCGAAAAATGGGAGATGATTCGCACTTCATTACGACGTTATGCAAGTCTTTAAAATTATTCCAATGAGGAAAACTTCTATGTTCTAAAAATACCATAACCAACTGGAAACTTGTGTCATCAACTTCTCTTTGACTGTCAGTTACACAACATGACAGATCTATTCATAATTGTGTTATCGCGTACTAAAATTGTTGTTTGGAAAACAGCAACGAATGTATTCGCGAAAGGAAACCGCTTTGTGCTCAGACACAAACGGTGAAGCACTAGAAAATCACTTCAGATTATGTCTTTGGGAACAAAACTAGATCTCAGATACTATGAACTGATTCTGCAAGGCACTACCAGCACAATAGATAAATTGCAAGGCTCTTCGATCAAGAAGTACGATGAGCTTCGGAATGTTTGATGGGGTGGGCTAAAAATCGGTACTAACCTGCTAAAGCTGAAATCTGTTTGAACTGGAAGTAATATTAACCATAGATTTCACAATTTTGCGTTAAGAGGACAAGAAGACAAACAAATGCCATATTAAACTTAAATCTATTCATGAGTTCTTTTGAAGCGTGCGTTATAAAGGATTACACAATTGTTTTGAGCCTAAAAATGTTTTCTTTTCTCTAAAAGACGAAAATAGCTCTTATTACATATGCAGAAAGAATATGACGTGGAAGATTCCAAAACAGCTTTGCCTAAAAACTTATGCTTATACAAAGGACAAAGCATTTATGGCAAATGAGAGGAATAGCAAACTTCTCACCAACAACAGAGGACCTAATACGTTAGAATTTATCTTAAACAAAACGATAACAACTTCTGAATCTGTTTATGGAGATAATGCACATATTATGCCACTTAGCCTATTTCCGCAATGATCGACACGTACCGCCCATTATGAAACGGCCTTAATGGCTTCCTATACTTTTCTCAAAGTGATCGGATTTAGGTGCACAGTTACTCCTTTATGATTTGATTCCACATCGACTGTATTGCCATTAGTGCAAAAAGTGGAAAAGTAAAAAGATATAAACCACAACGGAAAACTGTTTAATTTTGAAACCGACTGCCTTGGTAGTAATCAACATGTGTTTAAATTGTTGAGCTTACACGAGGTTGACAAAAATGTTTATGCGGCTAACGTTTCGATGCATTCGTCTTAATCCTAGCCGATGACCGACTCTTCAACTGTGGACCATCGACTCAGATCATCCATCGGCTCTGTTGAAGACGAAGACGTCGAAACGTTAGCCGAATAAACATCCTTATCGACCTCATGTAAGCCCAACAATTTAAACATATGTAGATAACATAATATTTACATACCCATCATAAATGTTGACGGAATCTCTCTAAATTCAGGAGAACGCAGTTGTCGCGAGTAATCGGTGATTCACGTTAGTACAAAAGAAGTTATAAATCAAGTTACCCTTTCGCATTCCAGATCTGCTACTGGCACCGGAATTTTATGAAACGACGGTTGTAAGTGGCCTAAACAATGTGCCAGTTAAATAAGCCCTTATGAGGAAATTAGGTTACACAGCACTTACCAAGACAAACTTTTCCCATTAGCCTTGTCTCCGCTTTGGCATATCGTTCAGCAAACAACCTTTCCTGGTTTGACAGAAGGACAGAGAGACCTAAAAATAGTTCAGATCTGTTCTATAAGTGATAGCTAAGTCGAGCAAAAGTAAAGTATCAATAATTAGCAGGTTTCCAAATGTAGCAAAAAGCTTGGAACACTAATTTTACTAATTGATGTTCCAGCTCGCAAGTCGATGAACCAGGAAAACAATATGTCCTGACTTTCTAAGGATTTGAAAGTTTATTGTTCACCTTCAGTTTGTCTCCAGAAGTGCTCCCGTAACGCGCGCCTTGGATTCCTCTCAATTTTCTGCAGACGGCGTCTCATGTAGTCATTAGTTATATACGTAAGCCGATGTAACTCAAGACGATGGGCCGATACTCGGAAACTCACCTAAAAATTGGAAAAGATAATGAATGCACTTCAATAAATCATCTTTCCAATGTGAACCGTGTGGGGCAACAGAAGGAGGCGTCTTGCAATGCGCACGGGCAGATGACCGCTCCCGACGCTCACCAAGCGTTCCATCCCTCCGAGGTCGGCTAATTGGTACCGGACTTATTTGGGAGGATAGCAGCATTGGCTCGATATATCGGTAGGCCACCGCGAGTTATTTTAAAGGCTAGATATGCATTCAATCACTTCCAACGATGCTTAGTGAAGTCGAATGCACGGCGCGTCCTTAAGGAATTGATCAACGCAGAAAGCCTTATCCTTTATACAATGTTAACAACGTAAAACAAATCGTCAAACAAAACTGAGTGCTTGCCACTAGAAAGCAAAGTGCACCACATAAATATACCGTGGAACAAAACGCGTATAGGAGATTTGATCTATTGAGAAGCAAGGTTACTCAAAAATATGGATTTAATCCAGATGAACTCCTGTCAGCATTTCACTCGTCAACCTTTTCAAACAATACCGTTAATAAACGGACCACTAAACAATTGCTTTCCAATTTAGCATGCAAACTGTTTACTGCATAAATCTCATATTTATTCGTACTCTTCAAGAATTTCGACCAAGGAACAAGTTACAAGTGCGATTCAAACTACTATACCCGGAAGAGTATCTGATTTTTCTTTATCTGTTACTTCTGACGAAAAATTAAAATGCTGCGACTTTCCGCATTAGTATACCGCTTCATGAGTTGCAAAAAGTAGTTAATATCATTTTATTTATTTACTACACAACCCGACACCACATGTATCACAACGTGCGGACCCAGACCTCCTGCATTCGATTCCACTCTATGTATCCACCGTCCAAGAAGGTCTTCGAACTTTTCACAGATGTCTCCGGCCGCTGCTTGAGAATTGCCTGCTTTTATAAATGTCACTGAATGCTGGTCGGGTCGATGCACTCAGGAATACTGAGCTTGCCGTGCTGGGGTGTACACTCGTGGACTGGAAGGGCTCAGCTTGTCGCAAACCTGTTTGGTTACAATTTCCAAACCCGGGATGGACAATATGCTTGATTGGTTGAATGCGTTGAATCGGGGCATGGGCTGGCTGCACTGTCCAAATAATGAACGGGATTACTACTACTGTACTAGCCTCTCTCTAGTTCAATACTAAGAAAATGGAAGCAACATCATGTATTATCTATTATTGTCCTCCCAACGGCTTAAAACCTCATCGTGGCTGGGGGTGTTTTTGGACGTCGGACTGCGACGTACAGGGAGAGGTTCATCCCCTCAACAGGTCCTTCCAAGTTGGGAAGCAGTTCGAAATTCCCAACAGATAGGCCAGCTAAGAGCAAACCATTACGAGAAAATACCACCGTCCAGGTATCACACTAGTCGCACGGTGATAAATCGCCCTCTGATTCATAACAGCCGGCGATTGTCTTTAGTGGTGACGACCTGAGCAAGCATTTGGCTAGGCTGACCCCGGGACTGTAGAGAGCCATATTGGCCAAACCAGCAAAACATCAGTCATGCTGGGCGCTTCCCGTTTACGACGTTGAGAGGTAAGACAACTGGTGACAAACGATCAAATTTCGGCTTGGAAATGACGTTACTGGAAAAGGAAAAACGAGTACGGCAACGACACACCATGGAGATTCTTTCTTGTCTTTACCTGTAGTATCAGAACAGTGTCCTCAGATGCCGATTTCTACGCCCTTTTTGAAAATACTGGCTGCATCAAACTTCATGTGGTCCCCCGCAAGAGAACAAAAGCAGAAAGACTGACATAAGCCAATTAGATGATGGAATCCTTGTCATTAGTGGAGAGGAATTTCCGTTACGAAGTGTAGGAGGCATTGGTTTTCTCATACATCCATCTAGCTACCTCATACGAAATTCTATCACAGCGCTTAGCTATTCACCGTCTCCAACATGAACGCCAGAAGAAAGTATTATCAACTGTTACTCTCCAACCTGTACAACTGATGAAAGCGCACTGGACGCGTTTTACAATAAGTTTGAGGAAGTAATCCACAACGAGGTATTTCTACAAATTCGCTTTTCGACACTTCAACACTAGATTGGAAGCAGTCAATGAAAATGAATTTAGGATTGGGGAAATTCCCAATATGAAAACGAAATTAGAATGGAGACAGTCTTATAGGACTCCTGTCCGCAGCATGCTTATTCCATGGGGATTCATTTTTCGAAAGTAGAGAAAATCGTCTGTGGACATGGGAGTCTCCTAACGGAACCACTCATTCGGAGATCCACCATATTACCACGAAAAGAAAATGGTGCCTCTTTGACACCTCAAGTGTACTTGAATTCTGTACTGGATCTGATCACAGCCTTCAGCTTTCGGAAATTCTATTCAGCGATAAGTTGGAAAAGAACCGCTTTCGTTGTCCAAGAAAAACAAAGCAAGTCGTGTCTGACGAGAATATTCTCAATTAAATCCTTTCATCACATGACTGGCAGGTAAACGAATACACGAAGGTAAACGAATACACGACCGAGAACTACAGTCTGCTTGTTGAATGACTTAAAACTTATGCCTAACTCGCCTCAGTTCCTCAAAAAAGAAGTTCAGGCCGCATTTCCATTACCATTAAGGAGCTGCTCGAAAAAAGAAGAACAGTGAAGATTGATTCAATTGCAACGCACCTAACGCAGCTGATAATAAATACAAGCTGTGGCATGTTTAGGCAGCTGGATTTACATCGGTATAGGAAGAAAAAGTTGTTGGAAGTAGTTCAGAAACGATCCAGTTCCCGATTTCTTTTATGCTGCAGACCACGAATCACATGTACCTCATACAACCTGCATGATATTTTGTCTTCAGATGAGTAAACTCTCAGACCATTAGAGGACCATGTGCACGGTCATGGTACCCAAGAAGGGTGACCGAAGGGATCTTAGTTACCGTGCAGTATGCAACTTTGAGTGTATTCTAGAAACTATTCAGGAAGGTTATGCTAATGTGCATATCAAGGACCTTGGATGAGGTACAACCACTTAAGCAAGCAGGATCTAGTCAGCGATTCTGCAGTGTGGGTTACATCCAAAATGTACCACGGGTCACAGAAGTCTGTCGGGTGTACCACCCGCCCCTTGTGCTAATCTTTATCGACTACGGAAAGTCAAAGCGAACGCAATCCTACCAGCGATCATCGACCAAGGAGTGGACAGCTCCTATATACGAACACTAATAGACTGTCATCGGAACTGAAGCACCAGTATACAGCTTTCAGATCGACCCTTCACCATTTCTACATGAAAAGGAGGTTGACAAAGCGACACATCTCTTAATAACTCGAAAGACCGACTTTCTATGAACCTCGGCATAAATAGTTGATATATTTATTTATGAGATCTTATAAACTGATCTTCTTAAGCTGACGCGAGGTAGACGCGAGGTTGAGTCCCGCACGTAACATCACGGCTCTGAGGAAGGCGAAGTCGCCGAAACGTCAGCCATCGATCAATAACATCAAAAACAACGACAACGACAACGACAACGAAGATCTGTACCAACCTCGCGTCAGCTTAAGAAGATCAGTTTATAAGATCTCATAAATAAAGCGACACAATATCGTCAAAGCCTTTTACTACCGCACTGAAACAGATAATGAAGTCACTCGATTGGGAAGAGAACGGCATAATTATTGAAGGGAAATTCCTATCAAATATTCGCTTCGCGGATGACATCGTCATCTTTTCGAGGAGTACCAGTGAAGCAGAGACGACGCTCAGTGAACTCAACGAAACGGGAAAAATGATTGGACCGCGCATAAATAGTACGAAGACCCAGTTCATGAAGAATCCACGGTGTGAAGGTGAAGAAATCGAAACTGACGGCCCTTTAATTATAAAACCTACCTCGTGCAAGCGAAAAAAAAGATTGAACTCTGCTTAAATGGGATGAAGACTCAGCTCGTGAACAGCCTATGGTGCGACGGTGAAAATGTCGAACTGAATGGTTCTCTGACTACAGAAACTACCTCATAGTGTACTTTGGACATTCAATGAACATTGAGAACAACATGAACGAAGAATTAGATAGAGAAAAAACAGAATGGGTCGCATTCAGACCTCTCAAAGAAGCCACCGAAAAGCTAATAGATCCAAAATTCTGCGCTCAACTCCACAAGTTGTCAACCTTTTCAAATCAACAATCAACCCAGCACTCGATTACGAAGCAGATACATCGGCTGATACTCCAACCACTTCAAAAGTCTGCGCACCACCACAGATCGCTTGAACGATGCCTTTTGAAACTTAAACGGCACTCACAACGTCCGGCTAGAATGCGTAGTTCAGATCCTTCGGATCTATTCCATCTTCGGGACCCAAGAGTATGTATATACATATATATACTTGGATACTTGGACGGTCCGTCTTCACGAGCTGTACGGACTCCAGCACATATGCCATTCGTTCCTTTCTCTAGAAATCGTAGTCCATGGTGGCGGTCTTGTTCGAGCATGGTAGCGCTTGTGAGTCTCATACGGTGATCTGTAAAACAACTGCAGCTGCGGGTACAGCTAATTAACTTTGTTTACGAACGCGCCCACCCAACGTGTAGATTGTCGTCCAAAGGGAGGTTTGCATTCTGTTTGAGTCCACTCTACTGTTCCTTTCGTCCATCTGTCGTCTGTTCTTCTCATTATGTGACCGGCACATCCATGTTTCGCAGTCGATGTATATTCTCCTGGATCTCGAAGATGTGACAGATTTCGAAGGTCAGAGCCTCGTATTCTGGCTACATATTGAGAGTGCCGGTTATATTTCAGAAAACATTGCTCAAGCGCTCTATGAGTAGTGCGAAGCATTCGTGACGTAGTTGAAGTACCAACCCACGTCTCTGCAGCATAAGAGAGTGCTGGGAGGACCGTAGACCCGAATGTGACTCAAGTTGCTCTCCTTCCTCTATCTAGTTCCTCCTTCATGTTGTTTTCTATGTTCACTGATCGCCCAAGGCAAGATGGGCTCTGCAATGAGAGAGCCATCCAATTCAATTCTTTTGCCTTCACAGCATGGGTTTTTCATGAGCTAGGTCTTCTTTCGATTTATGCCAAGTCTGATCTTTTTCCCCGCTTCGTCGAGTTCGTTCATCATTATCTCTGCTTCACTAGTACTTCTTCAGAAGACGACGATGTCGTCGGCAAAACGAAGGTTCGATAGGAATTTTCCACCAATACGTATGCCTTTCTCATACCAATCGACTGGCTTCATTATGCACTGCAGTGCGGCACTGAACAGCTTTGGCGATATTGCGTCGTCATATCGAACCCCTTTTCCTATAGGTATTGTAAGAGATCGATGGAAAAGCTGTATTGTCGTAGTGCAGTTACGATAAGAGTCGGACAGAGTCCCTATGTAGGACGGCTCCACTCTTTGGTCGAAGAACGCTGGTAGAATTGCATTCGTTTCGACATTGTCAAACGTTTTCTCATAGTCGGTAAAGGTTAGGACTAGAGGCAAGTGGTATTCCCGTCAAACTTTTATGACTCTGGACACGGCTTCGATGTGGTCCACGCAGAAAAAAATCCTTTTCGAAATCCTGCTTGCTCGACTGGTTGAGCCTTATCCAATGTCCTTGATTTGCGCGAGAGGATAATCTTCGTGAAGAGCTTGTAGAGTACACTTAACAAGCATATGGGACGATAGTTACGGATGATCGCGCGCGAAATCCTCCACTGGTCTGGGATTTTTTCCTGTTGAAGGTAGCCTGTCATATGATCTGCGAGAAGTACACGTAAATTGTGGCCTCGAGCTCTAAGGAAATCCGCAGTGATATTATCGGGTCTTGGAGTTGTACCTCTTTTCATGCTTTTCATGCCGCTATTAATTCCATTTCATGGCGGGAAGTTTTGACGATCCTATTCATTCATCGGTGCTGACAGGGGAACATTATAATCACACAAGTCCCGACGGCATTTTTTCAGACTGCTTCTTTTCTCTGCTGCTTCCAGTAGTTTCTTTTGCTTGTACCGTTGTAGATCTTTCTGCAAAGCTATTTTGCACTGGTATTTATTACTAGCCATGTTAAACGTGTTACAGTAAAATCAAGGTTCAGTTTCCTTCTCTTTTCGAGCAAATCCTTAATACTGACGAAGATGCGATTCGAGCTTCTTGCTTGAGGAACTAAGGTGAATTCGACACAGTTTTCCAGTCCTTCGACAAGCAGCTCGTAGTCTTCGGTCGGGTCTTCTTTAATCTACCAATCACGTTTGGACAGGACTTCGTTCAAAACATTCTCGTCGTATACAGCTAAGCTTCTTCTTCGTGGTCGATGAAAAGAGTTCTCTTCCAGCTTGCGGCTGAATCGAAACTTCGCGCGAAGAAGGCAGTGATCGGGACCAGTACAGAATGACGAAACCACCGATGTGTCAAATGGGCACCATCTTCTGTTTGTCAGAATATGGTCGATCTCTGCATGCCGATGGGAGACTCCCATGTCCAGCGGCGTCTTTCTTTCTTCTGGAAAAGCAAGTTTCCATGGAAGAGTCCTACGAGACGGTTCCTATTCTCATTTCTTTCTCCTAATCCAAAATTTCCGATTCTGTATTCGCTCTCGTTGGCCTTTCCTATTCTGGCGTTGAAGTCTCCAACAACAAATTTATGATATGCTTTATCATTGCGGATGACTTTCTTCAACTGATAGTAGAACGCATTTAATTCGTACTCATCAGCTGCATCAGTCGGTTAGTAGCAGTTGATGATAGATCTTCTTATGATGCGACAGTTGAAGACGGAGGACGGCTATGCAAGGGGAAAGGATCTCGTATGAGTCGACGAGACGGACAATGGACGGGTGGACGACAAAGCCTACGCCGCCGACATTTCGTGACGGGACCTTTTCTCCACGGATCACAGCGGTCACGTTGTTTAGCTGGCGTATGTCTGTCTTCTTGATTTTTGTTTCTTCTAATGCGACTACATGAAATTTAATGCGATCTGCCGCTACAAGAAGGGTGTGAAGATCGGTGTCTGTGGAGAGTGTTTTGCCATTATACGTGCATAGTAAGAAACAATCTACATGATGTGTCGTGCGTGTGTTCTTCAGATCCGGTTCCAATGACGTCCTGGGTAACCCAAGATTTTCTGGCCTCTCACCGGTCGTCTCATCACCTGACGTCATAGAGCACCCAGTGTGCGGAATACTGAGCCTGGCCTATTGCTGGTCGCGCAACTTGGTCCTCCTTGGAGTCCTGACGTAACCTTGCAAGGGTGTATCCAGGTCACCACGATGCGGATCAGAAGGAGGTGTGTTTTCGGCGACTAATCCTTCGCGCGGTTTTCGTACTAGTTGACTCGGAGGGATGTTAAAATCGAAATCAGAAACGACAGTGAGAATGTGAAAGTAACCGACCGCTCAAAAACGATATAGAAACCGAGTATATATATATACATATATATATATATATAACATACATGTAAGCACATATATGTATAATACACTAGTAATAGCGGAACACATGGGCACGGTCGTACAACAAGAAAAACAGATGACAGATGGACGAAAAGAACAGCCGAGCTAACTCTAAGAAAATACAAGCGTCATCTTGGTAGACCACCCAAACGATGGGCGGACGTTCATGGCTACCGTTAAGCATCTTCACTCGCAGATGGAAACAATTTCACGACTACAGAATGGGCCTCGTCGACGTTACCATGTTCGAAGCACACCACCACTACGTAAGACGGTTCTGCGATATAAAAACGAATGGGAATTACGATGGGCCTCCACAACCAGTGAAGACGGGGCATCCAAGTATCCAAGTATGTAAGTGTTTATTATTGTTGGGACACGGTTTGTTACATCACCGTCAAAACAGAGGTCAACTAATCGCAAGATTAGCCATTGTCACAGAAATCACTTCTGTACTATAAAAATCATAGCTGCGAGTTAGCAAACATATGTAGAGGGCAACAACAGCATATACTGAAGATCTGGGAAGGCTCTCTCCATCTTTAGAGAGGAAATGATGTCGAACAACATTAAAAGTGTGAATGAAAGCTAGAAAAGATAAAACTCTCAGCGTTGATCAATCCCTGAGGGATGCGCCATGCATTCGATTTCATTAAGTATCGTTGGAGGTGATTGAATGCATATCTGGCCTTTACAATGACTCGCGGTGGCCAACCGATGTATCGAGCCAGTGCTGCTATCCTCCCAAACAAGCCTGGCACCAATTTGCCGACCCTGGAGAGATGGAAGGCTTGGTGGGCCATGGGCGCGGGGATCGATTCCACGTGTTTGTCGCAGTGGCGCCCGAACCACTGCACCACACGTGCCCTAAAGTGTGAATGAAAAGAAAAAGATGACAGATTCTTAAGCATTGCGGGCTAACGCAGCGCAGTGGCCAGAGATGCTTTGCAATATAGTGTGTCACTCGCTGGTTCACGGGCCAGATGTTGTGCCTCCGGTCACAAGTTTTCGTTCCCTCTGGCGTCGGCAATCCTCTATCACACTTGTCTGGGAGAATAACACCAGTGACTCGATTCATCGGTAGCTACCACAAGTCACTGCATAGGTCATATATGCTTCTAATCACCTCTACGGTGCTTGAGAGGGTCAACTGCATGGCGCATTCCTAAGGCATTCAGCAATTCTGAAAGCTCTATCCTCTACCCTTTTATCCTCAAATCATGGACGAACACACTGGCAAACCTGACCACTCCTATGAGCGACTGTTTTTTTTTCTTTTTTACAAAACTGAGATGGTATATTTTTAGTAGTTTCCTTGCATTGGTCGTGCTCGAAAAACACTTCTAATCGGCAAAAATTCCAAACCAAAAAAAATTACACCGATGAGGTTACGCCTCTCGCCTTGTAATCATTTCATTTTCTTGAACTGTCTTTATTGTCACTGGTACGTGATGCACCACGATGACCCAAACCTACCACACTCCACTTCTTTTTGTCATTTTATATGAAACTAACTATTAGTGAGTTCTTAAGCTTTAGATGACTCCTAAATTAGTGGTATTCAAAGGAGTTTAGACCTGAGAAAAGAGAGTTAGATCCCCCTATAAGAGTTCGAAAAAATATGATAACCCACCTTTTCTGTTCTCCGAGTCAAATTCTCTTCCATTCCTTCAATCTGATCAACAAGACATTCAATAATATCATATCGATGAGGCAGCAAGCATGGTGCTGCCATTTCGTTTTGCCACGCAAGCCGCATTTGTCGAAGCACCTGAAAACGGAGGCGAATCCTTTCGACCTGATGAAGATATACTATAGCTCTTGTGGACAAGTTTCAAAAAGAAACACCGCTATGGGACCAAATATTACCTCGTCTGGAGTGATTTCCTCCTCTTCTACCGTACTGGACATGTTCATGTCCATCGATGACCGAACAGACACTAGCGAATCGGGCAGAGTCATACTAAAAACCAAAACGAAAAAGGTAATTTTATATAGAGATGTTTGAAATACAATAGATGCCCCAATTAGCCCTATCCATAACGAAACACTTCGCCTGATCTATGAAGCAGCCATCAAACAAATTCACTCACTGTCAATTTAAATCGAGCAATCACTTAGCCCAACTAAGTTGAACAACGTCCCATATATTTATGATCTCATACGGTTTTTCGTGAGCACCTATGTATAATGCAATGGTTACTTAAGAAAACCTCCCAACAGTCTACTGCCTCATCGTGGCAAGGTGTTCCTGGGTGTCGGGCTGTGATGTAGAGAGGGAGATTGATCCCTCAGCAAAGTCTCCCAAGTTGAAGAGTCCGGCATTTCCATCAGGAAGTTCAGCTAAGAGTACGGCAACACCAGGATCCATCACCGTCCTGGTGTCAAATTAGTCGCATGGTGAAAAATCTCCCTCTGATCCAGAAGAGCGGCGACCGCCTATGGTGGTGACGACCTGAGGCAGACTTTAGCCAGGCTGACTTCGGGACTCTAGATAACCACAATGCCTAAACTAGCAAAGCTCCAAAAAAGTAGAAATTACGCTAGAGCTTGCACAACCAGTGAAGACGAGACATCCAAGTACCTAAGTACTTGACAAAACAGAAAATCGATAGCACATGATGGACATACGCTGTCACAGACTTGTGGAGGCTGTGTAGATCTTAACTGTTCTCCTCTATCTTTCTCTTTACGCCTACATGTAATCTACTCCAAAACCCTACTTTAATTCCAGAACTGCTTGAGGACCAAGTTTCCACGAAAGCTGGAATCGTTAAAATTCCCCCTGCACTCCTCGCAGTGACAAATGCCAATGCTGCATTCCTGTATATCAAACTGTTTTGGAGTGAACTTACAATCTTCAGACATTCAAATCCCCAAGATATGAACCCGAACGATGAACTGCGAAATACTGATCTCGTTCCAGAAAATCATGTTCTTACCGTCGCAAAATAATGAAGTGAGTCTACCTTGTTCGCAAACATATTTGTACACCTTAATCGTTCCTTAACTCGACTAGAAAACCCCACGATAAGCAAATAGAGTAAGCGTTCATTTGAGGCTAAAATGCTAGGACAATTTCGGCCACGTGCTGGTCATGTATGACTCACACCACCGTCAATATGCGATTTCTGGAGAAATTCACCATCGTTTCACAGTCTAATAGTCTTCCACATATCCATGATAGCAATTGAAAAGAACAGTTTTGGTTGGTTTCTCGATCAAGACATGCTGCGGAAAAACCTGCTGCAGAAAACACGGAACAAACTTGCAGATTTACACAACAAATGAGGAAAAAATCAGTGGCAAAGGAAATAACATATTCAGTTTGTCCAAAAATTTCGCAAAAAACTTCCTAACGTGAGCTTCGGACAAGCGTAATAGCAAAAACCACTATGAAAAGGAGACCATCGAATTCCAATGTAAGGACCGGCAGAAAATATAAAACAGAAAAACAGTAAACAACTGTACGAACAACCACAATGTACATGATGCAGAACTGATTCTTCTCACTTAAAAATGATAAACAATAAGAAGTACAAATTATTAAAGAAAAAGGTGTGCCAGACCACAAAAAGAGGAAACAACTGGTTAGCATATAAGAGATTTGGTGTTATGCAAGCAAGTAAACCACTGAATTTTTCACTCTTGGGGCTTCATTTCACCAGGTTGCCCTGAAATGTGTAATAATATTATTTGCACAGAATGCCTGTTGAGAAAAGAGACATAGAATGTGGAATCAACCCACTGATAAAGGATAAAAAGTATAAAGCTTTCGGCGTTGATCAATCCCTGAGGAATGCGCCATGCGTTCGACTTCATTCAGCATCGCTGGAGGTGATTGAACGCATATGTGGCCCTAACAACGACGCACGATGGTCTATCGACGAACTCAAACACTGCTGTTACTCTCCCAGAAAAGTGTGGTACCAATTCGCCGACCTCGGAGGGATGTAAAGCATGGTGAGCCACGACCGCGAAAATCGATCACAAATGTGTCGCAGGGCGCCTTACTGTCCCACACGAGCCCTAACCCACTGATAGATTCCATAAAGAAAGATGCCGTTATAAAGACATCAAAACATACAAAAAGAAGTTCAAGTACGTGTTTGAAGCATAATTTTGCGAAAAAAAAAACAAAAAAATTGCTAGAACTATGTAGAGGTAACAGAAGTTTGAATAAAAAATAAGCATTACTATTAAACAAATTAAGAACAAAAGCCACCTTGGTGCATAGGCGGTGTTGCAGCGTCTGACATATCAAGCGATGATGTTTGAGCACCTTGAGGAGGATATGCAGCGGGCGCTTGTGCATACTGTTGCGGAGGATACCCAGGGTGCCCTAAATATAAGTATGCTAGACTTTCTTCAGAACTGCAGCAAAAAAGTTTCTTCCCTTCAAGATGCCTTATAAATGTAGAAAGTCTTCTTTTTCCACAATACCAGCTTCCACATCTCCCGTGCGAATTGTAGGGCTTTTTGCATTGAACTCGTTACCTCACATCCATCACACTTTAAGGTCCCAGAACTTTTCGACCATAACTTCGCCTGCCGCTTAAGGAATGTCGACTTCTTCTATGAATGACGTTTAATGATGGTCGAGTTGATTCTACCTGGAGTCCGAGGTTATTCAGGATGGAACGCTCCCACTTAGATTGCGGAAACTGAATTGTTCCCAACAGACTATGCTAGCAACATGCCGATCACGGTGGGATAAGTTGCTCTGTAAGCGCCAGTGCAGATCGAACCAGCATCGTGAACGATATTAATAACATTGTGCTACCAACCATCTAATGCAAGTTTACATAACAGCGATTAGATTCGACAAAAAGCTTACCTTGAGGTGGATACCCTGGGTAGCCGCCAGGACGTTGTGGTGGTTGAGTGCTGTAGCCAGTAGGTGGTGGCTGGCCTTGGTATGGCGGGCGCTGTTGTGGAGGGTAAGCGCCTGGCTGAGGCTGAGCAGCATAGCCACCAGGCCGAGGTTGTCCATAATAACCAGGTGTTGAACCCTGTTGGGGTGGATATCCAGTGTGACCTGGAAGTAATGTAACAATAAAATCGCTCAAATTAGGTGTGCAGTTGACATTAATACCAATATTTTGAGTCCAACCTTGCTGAGGCGGATATCCCTGATATGCACTTTGTGACTGTTGCTGTTGTGGGTATCCTTGTGGAGGATAAGCTTGCGCAGGATATCCTGGTTGTTGACCAGCGGGAGGACCAGGCGGGACATAAGCTGAAGCTGGAGGTTGAGCAGCTGGTGCAGGTGGTGCAGTTTGAACGGGTTGTTGTGGAGGCTGCTGCTGAGGTTGTTGAATAGTGGGCTGCAAAGGCGTCGGTGCACGAACACCGGCAGTTGTTGGGGCTTCCACGGATGAATCGTTCTTTTCAACAGCAGCTGAAATAAATTTTTAAACAAAACATTCGTGGGAGGCATTTCAGGAAACCATATACGGACAGTCCCGATCTCTAAAATATAGTAAATTAGATAGGCCTATTTATCAGTTATATTTCTGTAACATTATGCTTTCTAAGATGTGAGGCTGGAATGTAATTTTTTCGGCTGTCTATAATTTACAAATCACGGAGTACATAAGGATTCTACAGATTCATAAATATATAAACATTTGTGGGATATCCTTACAGTTTTAAGTCAGTTAAACGCAATCATCAGCAATATATTGTGGGGCACTATCATGTTCTACTAGGCAAAGAAAAACAGTCCTAAAAAATTAAACAAAATCAGTACCTTAAGCATAACCTTATCGTTTCTGAACAATATAATCTGAAACTCCTTGATAAACATTTGCTGATTCTAATGCTTTTTTCAACCTGACAAATGTTTTCACTGTAAACTGATATATTTAGTTTAAAGTTGAAAAGGTCGTTATTTCCGAGCCCAATGCGTCAATGTAGTTGCAAGAAACCATAGTAATTGTACCAGATTTGCGCACTTAGCGCTTATAAATCCACGGTACATTATACGAACGGTTGCTAAGTATTTTAAAGAAAATCGTGGGATAACAAACAACTATTTCTTTATAACATTTTAAACATAAAGTTTTGAACCATGACAAAATCGAGACCCAGGTCAGATTGAACCCAGGACTACCCCTTCCGAGGTCTCACGTGTTACCCACTGCACCACTGAGGCCCTTGCCTTGCCTTTCTCTCAACCAATTTTCTACTTAACGGTGCTATCAGCAATCACCCGCCAACGGAAATAATCTGGGGAACAAAATCGGCACTAGTCCCAGATCTTCCCAGAAGTAGGAACCACCGAATGGAAAGTAAAGCATATTAATATTGATAATAAGCATATAAAAAACTAACCCTCCTGACTTGGAGGGATGGCAACCTGCACTTGAGGAGTTGGTTGTGGAGGCCCACTAATTTCGAAACCCGGAGGTAGAGAAGCTGGTAACTAAATACAGTGAATTAGATAGGTTACCAAATTCACCGTCATTCAATTGAAAACCCTTTACCTGGCCTGCTGCAACCATCTTACTATGTGCTTCATGTTTGGCACGCTGTTCCAAGTATCTCAATTGGTCCATATGAAATGCCTGACGCTCCAAAATCAGTTGTTGACGTTGATATTCGAGCTTAAACAAAGAGCGACACTAACGCTACATTTATCTTCTGTAAACGAACACGGAATTGTCTACTATGTCCCAACAAGTTTAGAAAATTATAGGACGTTTAAGTGAACATACAGCCTCTCGTTCCTTATCCATTATTTGCTCAAGTTCATCAAAATGTCGTAATTTCATTTCCAACTTCTTCATTTGCGTTTCCACAAGTTGGGCGACTAATGATTTGATACGCCTTTCTTCTATGGTAGCCAAATGCTGGAAACGGTTCCGAATATAACACTTTGCGATCCATACAAATCATACTGAAACTGACCTTCGCTTTCACAGCAGCAGCAGCAAGTGCAGCTCCAGCAGCTGCTTGAACATTTTCACTTACAGCTAATTTGACACGGTTTTCATCCACTACGTCATCCGGCTTTTTCTTAGCTTCATCAATTTCCATCTTTTCACCTTCGTTTTTTTCCCTTTTCTCGTCAGTAGCAATACCAGATTTTGCAAGACCAACAGCTCCATCAAGTACACCGGTCTTTTCTTCATGAGCTTGTACATTACGTGCATGTGCCTCAACCATCAATGCAGGTACCTGCAAGTTGAACTCAGTACTACCCATTCTGTTTGTGCGATATATTCCCAAAAACAACCTCATCCTTCATCTTTGCGAATTCTTCAATCGCCGCCTTCGTCGCCGCTTGAGCGACCTTCGGGTCGACAACGGAGGCAAGGAATGCGACAGTGGACATGACGGGATTTCCCGATTGAGAAAATGGGACAGGCTGGAAGGCCAACGGACCTTAAAAACAGCTTTATTTTCATCCATAAATAAGATCTCTATCTGGCAGCTAATGATGTACAAACGTAAAGCAGCCCTATCGAAAATAAAAAGAACATTTTCGAAAGCCACAAATGAAAGTTAAGAGAATTACTTAACAGACATGATAAATCAAAGAATACCCAACCCAGAATGTTTTCGCTGCAACCGTTCACGTCATCAGGTCCAAGGTAGGGATCCTGTATGGGTAGTTGTAGAAATCGCAGAATGCATTCATCCTGTGTTCGTGACCCGACATGATCAGATACCTAAAGACCACGAATGTCACCAACACTTATGCTTAAGCTACGGAAGATTCCGAGACAATCACGCCATTTCCATAAAAGACTGGCAGTGAAAACAGAACAAATCACTTTATTCCAATCGTCCTTGAACATCTCCAGTCCTTCTAGAAGTAACAGAGTCTCCTGATCCGTCCAATCTCGACCAGGTGCTGCTCCCTTTGTCTTAAAACATTTTTTCCACACAATTGCTTTTCAATAATTCGACTACTAGTAACCTAGAACACTGGTAAGGAAACTCAAATCATAAATCAATAAGTGAGAAAATAACCTTCATTGCAGCCAACTGCTTCTGATATTGATCAGTCTTGAGACCAATATTGGACAACTTGTCAATAGAATTTTTCTCGCCCTCTTCGACGTCTTTCTTCTCCAACTGTATCACAAAACAGAAAACAGACACTATTTTACAGATTATTGATCTTCTGAGACAACTAACCGGGAAGTTCGAAACAACAGGACAGATTGGTTGCACACCGGTAGGAGTGTCAGCTAACACCATAAAATGACTAGTTGCCGGAGGGGCGATTGGAGCCGGACGAGCGTCTGAGTCTACCTGGTAATTTATCAGACCCCACTGCTCCAAGAATGAGTGCACCCTAAAATAAAAACCTTTTTACACAGTTGGATAATGATTTCACACAAAAGCTGAAACTTTAACGATACAACATGACTACCAAGATGCCTACGACAGTGTTTACAAACTTCTAATACTTGTAACTAGAGAGAATCTAGATCGAAAACTCGCAGACGAACCATACAGCACTGGATAACGTTATAAGCATTTTTCTTCAAACAGACCGTCTTTTAACCTCGGAAGTAATAACTCCTGGATTCACAATGTTATACCTTCTTATTTTCTGCCTACTATAATTTCGCGGCAGAGTACTAAGCGAAATACAACCACAACGTTGCTGAGATATTTGCAAAACTCTGGATCGCAGGTGTCTATGGTGGGGAACGAACGCGCTATTGTCCTTTCCGGGGAGTAACGCGTTCACCACCACACCATGCGGGTCCTTTGTTTCGCCTGTCTCTCAGCTATTTCTATCGACCTTTGCCAATAGCGCGTTCGTTCCCCACCATAGACACCTGCGGTCCAGAGTTTTGCAAATATCTCAGCAACGTTGTGGTCGTAATTCCTGGATTGTTACGCTATGAGGCTGACAAAGACGTTTATTTGGCCAACGTCTCGACGTCTTCGTCTTCATCAGAGCGTCAATGGGTAGATAACAATCCTTCCTGAACAAAGGAGCGCATACGGGTGAGGTTGCCTCCTTCGATCCATGCTCCACTGAAGAACAACTGACTCGGTACTACTACGAAGTCACCAAATTCGAAAAGAAGAACAACTGAGGACCACTGACTCGGATCATCGGCTCTGGTGAAGATGAAGACGTCAAAACGTCAGGCGAATGAACATCTTTATAAACCTTGGCCTATGAATCCAAGAAGCTATAAACTGTTATTTTCTTTCACTGGAAAAAAAACATTCCGCAAAATAATTTACAAGAAGCATGGATGCGAACTTGTCCTCATCTTTAGTATATTTACGCATTTGAATTACTTGATTTTTAGTTTTTGTTAAAAATACATTGGTATAGAAATAATGTTCACAAACAATAGCAGTTTCAGTCGTTAAAAAAATTAGTACACAGATTGCGAAACAAACATTTATTGCTTGCACTGTTTACACACACTACATTAAAGCAAGCTTTTTGTCCGACAGTCTTCCTCTTAACATTTTTTTCCGAAACTTAGTTAACAACGATTTTGGACCAGTCTCAGTGGTGCTTACAAAGTCAGACTCGCATCGTTTCGCTCCAGACATTCAATTTGAACATAAACAGGCGGTGGGAGCTCGAACGGTCATGAAAGCACAGGATAGAGACGACCTTCCAACCGCTCAGTATGCAAATGATTCGAAGGTTTTCGTAGTAGTTTTGGTCAAGACGTCTAACAAGTGGACGACGCCTAACAGTAGTTGAAGAGTGCCAATTGCAAGCGATAGTCGGAGCTGCCTGCACAAAAAGTACTTGCGCGGTTGTAAAGAAAACTCAACATTTATAAGTTGGAAATTGTTAGTAAAGACTCATAAATTATGTCCCTCACATCTTTTATACCATAAGACAACTCATTTCTCGACCGCACTATAACATGCGATGAAATTTAGCTCCTATGCAACAACACATTACGTTAATTAGGAAAGTTGAAATGAGATAATACTCATAAATCCAAACTAAATAATGCATCTGAAAGATGGTTCTAATGATTTCGGCACCGTAGTCATCTAATGAAACGTCTTTAGCACTGGCAAAACAGGTACAGCAGAGATTCGCTGTCACGAATTTAATGAAATCTTGTAAAAACAGCGGAAGCATGTGCAATAGGAAAAATCCTTGCACAACAACACTCGAAAAGATGTGCAAAACCAACAAAAACGTTTTACGTTGTAAGTTTTCCATCCACGAAACTCAAGTTTATACTAGGCAGGACGACTTGGCGCAAACACCCAAAGCGGTATTTAAAAATTCGGTCAAGTTCTTAAAGAAGAGCATTTGATTGAAGGTGGCTGGCATATTGGAGACAGGATTTTATAGTAATATCGTAAATATTACTGAACAAAGCCTTTGAAAAAGCCTTCAAAATTGCAATTTTTAGCTTGGTCTTCCGCCTGCCACTTGAAACCCATAACGTCTATACTTCCTTGTGCGCCTTAAAACAAACAACTAAGATTTCCACTAATATCTAGTGCTTACGCCATTTTAGAGGGTAAATAACTGTGAAAATAAGAGACACCAAGACCAAGCTGAAACATTAATGAACATTAATAAGCATGGAAAATTTCAACAAAAAGTAAGCAACGAAGTTTACACACACAAAAATCGTTCCTTCCATTTCTCACCATCTATCAAACTACATAACTGCTTTAATTGGCTTGGTTTTCAAAGAAAATATGGACTAGACCATAGACCATACACCCCACACTCCACATTCTGCCTCCCACTGATGAGTATGTACTGCACATTCGAAAGTGCTCTGAAGACCAAATGAGCACTGACCTGATAATCGAGCAAACATCTCCGGCGAGATTCCTTCGGCAGGCAGTTGCGGAAAGATATTCGAACGGATTCAGACGATACGTATCCACCATAAAATTCCGGTAGGAGAGATATCTAAACTTCGATATGAAGTTAAAACTAACCGGAGAACAAAATCGTTATAGAAAAACCACGTCTCAATGTTTGACACTCAATCTCAAATCTAAGAAAAAACACAGAGCATCGGAAAAAAAAACTTTAACCTACACTTCAGGCGTTTTGCTTTTGTTTCGGCCATTGAAAAATTCTGGAACAGCTCGCTTCTCAATCTGATGAACGGCATTGTAGTCAAACCAGGATGCGTATGATGGGACCACGATGTAATGAGTTTGCTCTATAACATTTCCCTCGTTCTCCTAAAAATATTGGCAGTGAGAAAATCACCCCAGTAATCTTATCAGTTTCTTAAATAAAAATCACAAAACTGCTCAAATTGCGCAGTAGGGTAAGCACAAATTCCACCAAATTGAGGACCTTCCTCCTTTCAGCACCTCAAACTGAACCCCCAACTTAAAATAAATCTATGGTGCAAAATAGATAGTCCGGCAACTTTCCGCGACTCTGGATACGATCGACCATTCCAACTCTGTGGAAAAAAAAATCGACAAATTTCAAAAAACCCAGGATGGAGATTGTGCAATGGTCGTATTATTAGTGAAGATGGGTAACCCATGACCAATAAGTAAATAACCTGCAATAAATTGGACTTGAGGAGAAGAATCCGATAAAATGAGCGTACCTTGGAAACACTATGGTGGGATTCGTCATCAAGATCTATGAGCTTCTGTCCTTTCGGCGCTGAGAATTCAGGATCTTTTTCTCGTCCTTAAATTTACAATAATACACCAACACATTTAACGCAGTAGCATAGCAAGACATACGCAAGAAATCACGGAGGTAAACATGACACCGTTCTCAAGCCAGTTTCCTCAACAAAAACAATCGGATTTTCGGTATAAATATTTCAAACAACAAACACGGAGTGTACAGTCTTAGACAAAATTTTTGCAGAATTTTCTTTATCTTAACGCAAAATGACTGACTAGTTTCCACTAACTATAGTACGCGAGAAGCTAAAAGCTTGAGAGATCGATATCTATTTATAGAGACCCTGCCAAATTTTCTTGTTCACTACTTTCCTAAGATGTCACTTCAATTCTAAGTTTTTTTGGATATAAACTTCCCAAGAAAAATGAAAAACAATTCTAAGATTTAGCTAAGGGTAGGAACACTGCCTTTGAGGACATTACCGTGTCACGTTGCACGAGAACCCACTCCCTTCACTGCTCGTCTAAAATATGAACAGAAAAGAAAAGCGAAAACTTCATCAGCCCCAGAAAGATTACATTTATATCGTCGTAGAATAAGAGATGTAGTACTTTCGCAAAGTCTAGTATATCTAATGAATTTTATTCCAAGAATAAAGTCCGCCACCAGATACGTTTAAACCTGAAAGCTTCAACTACTTCTGGCCACGTATGAGTTGGAACTAACATGGGTCACTATTTCAAATTCATTAACCCTCCACACCACACCATGCGGGTCCTTCCTTTCGATAGAACTAGCTGCGAGACAGGCGAAACGAAGGACCGGCATGGTGTGGTGGTGAACGCGTTACTCCACGGAAAGGACAATGCCGCGTTCGTTAACCACCATAGATACCTGCGGTCCAAAGTTTTGCAAATATCTCAGCAACGTTGCAGTTGTGTTTTGCTTAGTACCTTGCCATGAAAATTGTAGTACGCAGAAAATAAAAGATAAAACATTTAATTGTCTTCGTCTGTCCTCAACTTTCCACCGATAAGCGTTAAATCTGGTGTTTCAGCAGTATCGTCTTCTTCAGAGCCTGGAAGCTATAATGATATGCAATTTACTACGCCGAACGCTTCAATAACACAAACAGAAAGACGAAAATCTATACGGTAATCATATGATCAACAGCTTCTCGAAAAACTCACCGTTTTTATGTGCCTTCCACTGAGTAGGAACCGCTGATTAGAGTCATATACCTCCGATCGCCAACTCTCGCATCGATTTTTGACGTGGGGTGGTGCACTCATCGACCATATGCAACTTTAATCAGCTGTTCTTCCTCAGTGGAAGGCACGTAAAGACGGTGGGTTCTTCAAGAAGCTGTTAATCATGTGATTTTCATCCTCCTGTTTGTGTTACTGGGGCGTCTTACATAGCAAATTGCCTATCGATATACTCTTCCAGGCTCTGAAGGCGATACTGCCGAAACGTCAGTTTTAACGTAATAAAGAATAAAAAATAAAATAAGTCCCACCGACACTTCAAAAATGATCTAACCATCCCATAAGTACATGTAGCACAGAATTCAGCACAAGAAAACTGAGGTCATATAGGTCGGTGAAGCAGACGATAAACAGCGAACCTTTGGGTGGCTCGACTTTTACGGCGACTCCGCTCCGACTGTCATCGTCATCTCCCTGCATGGAGACGTCGCCATCGTCATCATCACGTTTGCGTTTCGTTCCACTAAACGACTCTTCACTTCATAACAAAACCTACGAAGAAATACTCGAAAACAGTTGACAGCAAGATATCACGGGCTCAACTCAGACGAGTACGTTCGACGTACCCTTTCCTCATTCTGCTATGACGGGAAATGCAGTGTAACTCCTAGAAGTAATAAACATTTAGGAAAAAAAGAAAATCACCATACAACAGCATATTTATGGCTCGATACCCGTGAAATAAATCAGCGTACACACGCACAACATTTTGGGGCAATCAATAATAAAGTGGTGGAAATACTACTGCTACAATAAAAGTAGGGAGGAAAGTAGTAAGCAGGAAAGTAGGGAGGACGATAGGTAAACAATCAAAGGCTCAGAAACGAGCGCCCGCGGTAGGCGAAGGCCGGTCCCGCGCGGTCGCGCTGCGGTCGGGCCGACCCGGACGCGCTTGTCGCAGCCATGTGGGAGTGTGCAGACTGCGTGCCAACACTCCCTTTTGAAAACATGGACTTGTTTTAGAGCCTTGATGTTCGTCACCCATAGGAGGCCATAAGCTAATAGTACAGTGAGTTAACATCAACCGGAAGCGATTTAAAGCAACCAGCAGTGGCTGGGTCGCAGGTGGTGTAGCGGTAGTGATGCCGATAATTATGAGGACGGTGCTGGTTCGACCCCACACTGGGCTCACAAGGCCTGCACGATCTCTGCAGTCCAAGTGCAAACGCTGGAGCCCACTATCTCAGAACTCCAGAGGGAATCGACTTGACCATTCACCGACATTCATGACAAAAGGAAAGTCGTGAACCCATGATCAAATAGTTCGAAGGCGTTTGTGGATGATGGATGCGACGAAGCGAGTGAAGTGCAAGAAGTACTGCATTCGCACAGTAGATGTGAAAAACGGTTCGTATAAAATAAAACAAATAATAAGTAAGGGCTTTTTCGAAAGCACTATATCTCGTGTGGGGTCGGTTATGAGACCACGTAGCGGATGACCGCGCACTTCTGGGCTAAGGTAAATTCAGTGAATGTTTTCCTTGCCTTTGGTCCGACGCACTGATTTTATGCCTATGCTTAGAAGCATAGGTGCATATGGGGAAGCTATTAGAGTTGCCTAGAAAACCAGACGTGCCCGGCAGTTCGGTCCCACGTCCCAAGCAGACGAATTCTTCCAATCGGCGTCAGTAGTTTTGTGCCTTTCATGTCTGCAGTGATATACACCATCACTTGATTCATGGCTAAGCCACTGAAAGTCTGTTTCTAAGCCAAATATAGGATCACAGCTACGGTGCTTAGTGAAATCGAATGCATGCTGCATTCCTAGGTACCGATCGAGTCGCGGTGAGGAAAACGTAATGATTAGAGAGGTTATGCACTAACACATGCATAATCACTGGTTCGAGTACTTCCCAGTTCAATCAAGCTTCTCTTCCCTTCGAGAGTACACAAATTGGCAGCAGATTAGTTTCGTCTCGCTGAGTTTCGAGACGATTTCCTTCCTTCTCTACAAATATAGAGAGTAGGACGCAGACTTTTGCCTATGAAGAAGGCACTAGCGTATTTTTGCCTAAACATACCTCTCTAGGGACTCGTTGAGCATCATATTTTTCTTCTAGGGCTTTCATGAAAAACTCTGAGCATCGGGTTCTCCTATATGTTTGAAATTCTTAGGAATTCACTCACTAGAGGCTATTACCCACTACTTGTCGTTCATACGTATTACGTATCCGGTCCACCTTAACTTTGATAGCTTGGCCTATAGAAAAGCGTCCTTGGTTTTCCATCGTTGACGTAACTCGGAGCTTCGCATCCCCTCTCTCATTTCCTTAATGCAGGATACTCATAATATCGGCCTTTCGACTTCGTGTTATATAACGTTGAGTGGTCATTCATTTTGCTTACATCGCGACCCAGTTTCTGGCACATTCATTAAGGCAGGAAGAATCGACTAAGGAGTAGAAAAGGTGAGCGGCACGGAGTCAGACATTCCTTTTCCCTTGCGCTTGAAAGCTCCTCAAGCCGCTCGCTTCCTTCGATCCAATCCTAGAACTAAGTCGTTCATCATATGGATTTCCCGATTTAGTTAGACGTAGCTGGAGTTTTCGTAGATATTCATTCCGTTGAGCGTGAATGGGGCATACGCAACCATTCCGTTCCTCATGAACATTGTTTTTGCGATGGTCTAGTCGTAGATCTAGTCTGCGATCTAGTCGTCTGCGATCTAGTCGTAGACTCCGACCATCAATTTTCACTCTCAGGTTGTTTGATTCTAATGTTCGCTCGACGTTTTGGAAAGTAGCAGTGAATAATTTTGCTCAGATGATACCGCCTTGCACAAACCCTCCTTCTACGTCGATATTAATATCGTTCTAGGATGGTGGTATTTTAGTTGTGTAGTTTTTATTTACCCAATGAAGAATCTTTACATGCTGACTATGGGCTCAGTAGATGTCCAGAGCTTCCATGACTGCTTCTAGCTCAACTATGTACTCTCACGATGCCTCTGTGATTCTTTTAACGCATCCACGTGAACCACCGTACCGAATTCTCTCCAAAATCCTACTTGCCCAGATGGCTGTCCTTCGTCCAGTGTTTTGTCAATGCTGTTTAGGACGACTGGAGTGAAGAGTTGTTCATAGATGACAACCAGCAAGCCGATTGTGCGATAGTTGCCGACATCATGGAGGTCACTGTTCTTAAACAAGTCACGCTTCCTAAACAATAGCTTAGTTTTGCTGGTTTTTTTAATCGGATAGGAACCTTGAATTCTGAGAAGTAACGTGTGAAGAGTCGAGCCCTTATGTTTATGAATACTGGCGGAAGGTGCTTCAGGTGTTCAGATCTTCTCTTGCCCGGACACGGTGTTGCTAGATTCTTCACCGACGAAATAGCATGTCGGTTTTCGGAACGGAGAACCGTTGTTGAAGTGAATCGTAATCGTGAACCATTTTCTCAATTGCCTTTCTGAAAGCTGTATCTGTTTCCTCTGGGCGTCAGCTTGTAATCACCTTGATTTGGTAACAAGCAATGTTTCAGTAGACTTCGATGATCTTCTTCCAAACTACAGCTCCGGCCGTAACTGCTGCTATTCTCCCTTTGAAGCTATGAAATAACTGATGGTTCCAAACGTGTCATATTTTCCACTTTGACCCATTCGGAGTTCGATTTTCGATACTGACTTTTGAATTCCTTTTCAGATGATGCGCTATGGACGAAAGCGTCTTCAAGATGTTTTTTCGTAATCTCAACATTTCACTGACGACACGTGCCTCCCGCTCCCGACACGGTGTCCCCACAGTTGGACTTTCGTGTGATCGTGACATTGCGTGACATTGCTTTCGTAAACGGTCTTCTTTGTTTTATTGAAGCTGGCTTATACGACTTGTTTAGCAGACTTTTCTGCTTAAGGTCACTTTAGCATTCGAACTAATAGGATTACAAATCAACATTGACCACTGTCCCAACAGTAATCCGAAGGCGAAACACCAGCTATTGTGAATGAATAAATAATGTAATAACAACCTCGTGCTTTCTGAACCGGAAAACAATGAATATTGCACAGTGCGAAGGTAAAAAAGGTCGGCGCTGGGAATTTGAGGTGGTGTTGTAGTAATATAGCTATACTCTACTAGCCATACTATGCGTGTAGCTATACTTGAGCCATACCACCTAACCAGGTGCAAACAGCAGCCAGTGACTCTGTTGCTCTCAGTTTAGTGGCGGTAATGTTGGTTTTTCAATAACAGCACAGGTTGGGAAAAGCATAAATGTTGCCTCGGAAAGAATTACAGATGAATCCTGGACGGGCAACATCATGGACTGGTGGAGAGAATCCCATTTATTTTAACATTTATTTCATACCTACTTTTTTTTCATACTAGGGTATTTCGTTAAATACAACAATAAGAATGCTGCGGTGAGATCAAAACTCGGTACCTAAGGTGCATTTCGGACGAACGATTACCATTTCCGGGGAATCACGTGTTATCCTTGTGGTTGCATTTTACAGAATACCTAGCCGTGAAAAAAGAACAGTAGGTAGCAAATGAAATGAAAACACTGTGATTTCGACTGCAACTTCAGCTTAAGTGGGCTGGATGCCGATTTGTGCTCTCCAGATCATTTCCACTGGTGAGTAATTGCTGATAGTAGCGAAACAGTAAAACACGAACTAACCGAGGGAAAGGCAAAGCAATGGCCTCGGTTGGTGCAGCACATAACACCTGAGCCCTGGAAAGGATAATCACAGAATTCCATTTGTTCAACTGACAGCTTGAGATGTCAGTCTTGAAAAAAGAAAGCAGTGATGACGATTCATTTGTTCTATAAGGCCTGAATTTCGTTGTGATAACGTGATAAATAATGAATCTTGTTGGTGTGACTTGCATATTTTAGTCGTTTCCGTTTCAATGAATGAAATTTACAGAGCGCTCGGTTAAAACCGGAAGGCCAGTTTATTTTCGAGCATAATGGTTGATCAATAATTTATGTAACTGTTAGTGCACTAACACTGATGGTCTTCAGCTTTTCGCCTTCTAGAGGGCACGATCCATTGATTTTTTTCATTTTGTGTGACCCGTCTTCACGTCTATTGTGCAGGTACCAGCACTTCCCACATTCGATTCGTTTCCTCGGATCCATCATTCACTAAGCTCCTCCAAATTTTACGCGTAGTTTCGGCTGTTGCGTGAGGGTTTCCATTTCATCTTGAATGTCGTAGGATGTTGGTCGAGTCGATTCTCATTGCAATCCTTAGATAGGCGGGCTGCAGCGTTCCCAATTGGATTGCAGACCGATTTTTTTCCCGGACAAGTCTGGTACCAATTCCCCGACTATATGGGGATGAGGAACTTGATGAGCCTGCGACAGGATCGAACCAACACAGTGGTTGTGATGATCGGCACCACTACCGCTGTGATATCCGCTTCAGTGCTTTTTCTTAATGTGAGAGGCATATGAGGCTTCCATGTGAGCTCTGTCCGGCGGTTGATCTCCATGTAATATATTAGGTGATATACTTGTAGAAAGGGGTAAGTGTGCGAAGAAGCTGTTTTGTGCTCAGTGGGATTAAAATCTTGGTTTGGTATTTTCTTTCTTTGGTTATGAAAGAGTTTAGCTTGGTAGACTGCAGTCAATTTGACCTTTGCAGACTCTGAGGAAGGCGAAGTTCACCGAAACGTCCGCTTGTTCAAAAATGAAGAATAAAATAACTTCTTTTTGCTTATCAAGAGAACAGTGAATTAGTCAGTAAAGGATATTCGTTTTTCTGCAGAGGGATGAACATTTCTTGTACAGTTTGTCTTTCTGTAGAGCAACTCGATGCTGAGAATTTACCAGCATTGATTTGGCGACGAGCTAGACCCTTTTACTCATAAATGTTTCACGTAGAATAGTTCTTTAATGCAGGGTATAAACCTGTCCTGTATAAAGTTGAACGTATGAAAACTGACGCCACTGATTTCACATTTTGTTGCCTTCAAGAATGTCGGGAACTAGGTGGGGCATCGAGATGGAAGGATTTGCCAGTGTGTTAAGTAAACCGTCATCGGCAAGCTAAGCACGATGTCGTTGATAACGACTTGTGGAAGTGGGACGTGGTGTAAAAGGGTGTTGGCGAATTACATCACGGATTATGGTGAAAGTCGAGAAACCTAAAGAATGTGGATGTAATAGTAAGAGTTATATTTAGTTGATGGTTCAGGTGCAATTTCGGAGAGTTATTTTCCACTCATAAACATGAAGGAACCGTGATGTGAGCAACACCTAACAACCCAAAAATATCTGAACTACTCAGGGGGACCAACGATTATGCATCCATTAATGCACGGTACTTCTAACCACTGCGCTTCCGTCACCATTTAAGCTTTTATTTAAAAAAGACAGAAGCTTTGTATAATCTCCATATCTGACTAAATCTGAACGTCTCTTTATGATTAACGTTCGAAATACCGAAGCAATACAGATTTAAACTTGAGTTTTGTGAACAATCTATCAATCAGTTCAACAATCTGTTGAAAAGAATTGTAAACCCAAATATCGTGTAACACAGTGGAAGGGTTGGTATCGTAGTGCTGTTTAATTCCAGTTCTGTACTAACCCAGAATATCAAAACCAACCTCTCCGGTTTTTAGAGCTTCGAATATTCAATTTTTAGGATTTTGATATAGGATATTCAACATGACTGCAGGAGGCACGACTGTGAACTAAACGAAGTTTAAGTGCTCAGTAACTGGTAGTGAAGCTAGTTCATTCTATGTGCATAGTGACGAGGTTTTGATTTGGGACAAAAAACTCCGTTATTCCTTTGAACCAATGGAATTTCGAACTTTCTAATCCGAATGTTCTAAAATGTGACTAGAAGAGCGCGTTTGTATTTCGACGCACTCTTGCTTCGTGTATTCCAATGCATCCACATCTTCAGTGTTTCAGCTGTTCTAGAGCTTTTTATGAAATTTATTTCCCAAGTTAATATATGACAGTTGCAACAATACTTCACCGCCTACAGTCTTGTAAAGGACGATGTCAGCTGATAACTAGCAGCTAATGCGTTTAAATACGTTCATGGAATATAAAGCTTGGTGTTTTGACAGCATGTAGCACCAAAAAGTGACAACTTGTTCGTAAAAGTAAAAAAGTAAAGAATAGAGCTCTTGGCGTTGATCAATCCCTGAGGGATCCGCCATACATTCGACTTTATTAAGCATCGTTTGGAGGTGACTGAATGCATATCTGGCCTTTAAAACGACCCGCAGTGGCCTACTAATGTATCGAGCCAGTGTTCCTATCCTCCCAGACCAATCTGTAACGAATTTACCGACTTCGGAGGGATGGAAGGTTTGGTGGGCTACGGGCGCGGGGACCGATCCCATGAGTGAGGACGCCTCCGATCACTGCGCCACACGCGCTCTTTTTTTTGTAAGACTACGACCGTTAAACTCAGTACATCTGGTAACTTATCACTCTTAATACTTTAAGGAACTTGTAAAAAAAATTGCTCATTATAAAAAAGCATCTGCACTTAGACTGCTGTGAAAGACTATCGCATCTATGTGTTTTCAAATTTAGTTTCTATTTTCTGCCTAGCACAATTTTTAAGCCAGGGTATTAAGCGCACTACAACCACAACGTCACTGAGATAACCTTTCCGAGGCTAACGCGTTCACCATCACACCATGCGGGTCCTTCGACTCGCCTGTTTCTCTGCTAGACAGCTGCGGTCCGGAGTTTCGCAAATATCTCTGCAACCTTGCGGTTGTTTTCAAATTGTTGAGCTTACATCAACTTGATAATAAAGTTTACCTGACTAACGTCTCAACGTCTTCGTCTTCATAAGGGCCGATTAAAAACATATTGATTATTCCACCACCGAGGTTAAATGACGGTCGGTAAAAAAAAATTTTTACTGTCGTATCAGTTAATCAATAAATAAGCTTTTCTATGATTTTCTTTCACCAGTTCCTATGATATTAAATGCCACTCGACTTACCAGCAAATGAAGTAAATACCAACCGCTACATGACGCATTGTCCACGAGAAATAGTTCGTACCGGAGGTGGAAATCGATCCATCCGATGCAGAAAAGGGCACGGCCGACTGGAGTTCCGCTTTTGTGCGGTCCTATCTCCAATGGATTCGACTCGATAAAATCTCTAAAGCTGTCGATGTTGATAAATCCCTGAGTGATGCGTCATGCATTCGACTCAATTAAGCACAGTTTGGAAGTGATTGAATGCATATCTGGCCTTCACAACGACTCGCAGTGGTCTACCGATGTATAGAGCCAGTGCTGCTATGCTCCCAAATAAGTCTGGCACCAATTTGCCGATCCCGAACGGATGGAACACTTGGTTAGCCCCGGGCGCGGGGATCGATCTGGCATGCGTGTCCCAGGGCAACTCCGAATACTGCGCCACACTCACCTGTTCGACTCGATGCCATCCAGTAATAGAGCGAACGATATAAAGAAACAAACTGCCCAAGCAGACGAAAAGCTAGACGTGATGCCGACGCTACCGTAACCGTATGTGAAGTGTCTCCGCAAATCTGTTACAGATTATGAAGCCGAAACATAACGGCAATCCTTTGGCCAATTACTGATGTTTGTGCGAGTTCTTGAATATGAATATGAATGAATACCCACGAAAACTTTTACTTATGGATCATATACCTCAAAAAGTACATCATAACATGAAGTAAAATATACGAAGAAGACAACTAAATAGCACAATGGATTCGAGATTCGGATAAATATCGTGAGATGTGTTTGAAACGATTACAATTTCCCTTTCACAAACGTGTAACTAAATATATAACCAAAGCACGACCAATAAGTTCCCTTCTAGTACATGACGGCCAAAGCTAGTTTCTCAACAGCTGATGACAATTTATCGATCACTAGAGTGTTTCATAAGTTCAAAACTTCGTTGATTTAGAGATAAGACTTTGTTCCCATTCATCGCATATATGATTCTTATAAAACACTCTTTTAAATTTAAATATGTTTAGAGTTAGAACTTTCAGAAAATTGGTAATGAGATTTAACTTCTAAAATCTCCCATGGAAGAGCGGTGGTTGCAAGCATGAATTTCAAACATTGAAAAATACTACCGCGTCCTGCTGGACAAAACCATACTTGTTTACTTGTCTTCGTCTTCGGAATATGACCCTTGAGGCAATAAAGTGGATGAAATGTACGTCATGTGTTGTAGAAAATCAAGATTTCATCGTGATAGAATAGGATCCTTTTCACGTATTCACGAACTGTAGATCCTCATGGGTTTTTATTGTGATTAATAAAATCTGATGTGAACTCACAAGATGGTCGGTAATTTCAAAGTGGCCATCATTTTCGCATTAACTGCATTGTACAGAATTTCGCTAGAATCGTTATGTGTTAAAACGATTAGTAACTATGTCGTATAACTATGGTTATTTTTCAACGGAAATGCATTAGTATGTCTACCGGGAAGGCACGTTATATTTCAAGAACAACAAAAAGGAAACGTATAAAGGATTCTTGGTCGATCAATAAGTATCACATCAGTAAGCAACAGTGCTCAAAAAACATCAATCAGAAGTATTTCTTGGTCGGAACGGAGTTGTTAAACCTCGCGGAAGTTTTGATTTAGATCCGAGAGTACGCTTCCTACTCAAACTGACTCGCTGTCCGCGGTTCTTGCCTGAGTTCGTTCTGACTTTAGGTGTGGAGCGCTTGGGAGATGAATGCTTAGGCCCACCCTGTCAAAATGTTGAAGTTGTGGAGCACCAAAAGCGCCTGTGTTAAAACTTAATTTCAAGAAAAATACAAAAAAAAACAACCAAACATATAAAGTGTCATACGTTGCAAACAAACTACCTTTATACGTTTTGTTGGAGTAATGACGCTAGGAATCGACGCAGCAGTGGAATCGAAGCACTGACTAAGCGTAGAGTCGTAATGAAGACGCTAAACGTAACTACAGCACATTGAAATTCTTGAATGCATTGTTTTCGGGACCATTCGTGTCGAGTTGAACACATTTCCATTTGACTAGCACGTTGCTTATTGAACAAAATTTTTCTGTGGAGAGCCGATAAAACTATCTCAGACCTTACCTAGGTCGCCACCATAAACGGCCGATAGCATTTGTGAATTTGATAGACAAGCGCCGTTTTACCACAAAGCTTTTTCAATGACGACGACGATTTTCGCCATTGTTACATTCCTAGCTAAACTGTTGAATCGAAATGCTAAAGCTCTGCCTCTAGATAATTGGGTGATTTTGCCGAGGGAATGAACCTCTGGTGTACGTTTAGTTGATGTAAAATAGCAAAAAGAAACAAAATTTCGACTCTATCACCAAAAAATTGTAAAAAATAGTAACATGATATGCTAATGCCGCGATTGGGTAAGAGACATGTTAAAGTTCAATCTACACCTCGCCATACACGTTCTTCATCATAATGGTTAGAGGCACTCTCACCTTTCTCTTATCATAAAAAAACTTCCGGATAGTCATTTAGAAGAATTAAACAGCTGCTAAAACATACCTTGCGAACTAATCCAAGCTTCGAGGAGCTAACAGCTCTGGGCGGCAGCCTTCCTTGGGATGACTGGGGAGTTCTCAAAGAACTACTGGACGCCATACGTTGCATCTGCTGCAAAAGTTTTCATTAACTGGAACATTACCACGAGGCAAAAAAAACATTGACAAATAAAACTAATAGCCACCCTGTTCTTGCGTTCCACTTCCTTGCCTGCGTTATACTCGTCCAAGACCCATTTCACATAGTCAGGAGGCGTGAAACCATCCACTCTTGAACAGAACTGTATTTAGTACAACGGCAAAATCAGTACACTGAGCGTCTTTGAGGAAACAACTCACCTAAAATCATCATCCGGATGAGTCCTCCGATATTCGTCGTACACTGTTATGAGAGTCTTCATAAGCTTAGGTAACGTGTGTTCATTGAGTGTGCGCTCCATCTGTCAGACTACCATTATAGGTTAGAAACATCATTTTCAGAAATTAAGGAATAAAAGTTCCACACTTTAGACTCGCAACAACGTTGATATTTCACCTTTGCATCCAGGAAAACATTGTTTTCTCTCCCGCGGTTCTGATAGTAGTCAGCAGTTTTCCTCTTCTCTTCAAGTGCAATTTTATTTGCCCACGTGTCCTTCCACCTAATACAATCTCATTTGCTTGAAATAGTTTTCCCACAATACATGAACCATTCCTACTTTGTCAAGACGTCGAATACATCCTTGCGGGCGGCGTACAAACTTTCCAGGCGAGAAATTTCAGTGGACATATTGATGAAGTCCTTCTCGGTATGCTTGTCTATAAATAGACATTACAAAACAAGAAATCTCGATGAATACAAAGGTTGATTCCACATACCGGGATCGTAACTGGAGGGGATCACCCGCTCTGCATCAGCAACGTGGCAGGACTTCCACAATTCACTAAGCTTTGCGTACAATTCAAGCCATCGAAAGTCGTTCTCTTGGACATATTCGGTATAGAGATCATTTAGCTATAAGTAACAAATTCCAGAGTTCGACCACTGTTTTACTCATCGACGGCAATACAACTCAGATATTGTCCAAATTTGTTCCCATTGATTTTTGACGAGTAAATTTACCCACTTTTTGTATTAAATCTATAACTTTATTCAATTTAAAACCTTTGCGCTCATGAACACTCCATCAGCGGAGCAGTAAACTACTACAGGCCACAGTCGTATCCTAAACTACTCACTTTTAGCATTAACTTCATAGTCATAAAATTTTTACACAACATGTAACTTACACATTTTGCATTCCCTACCAAAACCATCAAACCAGAAATGTCCTTTGCAGAACTTAAAGAAAGAAAGCTCTCGGCATTGATCAATCCCTGAGTGAAGCGTCATGCATTCGACCTCATTAAGCATCATTTAGAAGTGACTGAATGCATATCAATGACTCGTAGTAGCATGCCAATGTATCTAGCCAGTCTTGCCATCACCCCAAACAAGTCTAGTATCAATTTGCCGACCCCGGAGAGATGGAAGGCTTGGTGAGTCTTTGGAGCAGGGATCGATCCCATGTGTACTGCAAGGCGCCTCCGACCAGTGCGCCACACGCGCCCATTTGCACCAATTACATTCATTTTTTTAAACGTACATACGTACATATCCGTTCTCAGCTTTCCTAATAACTTTAGAATAGGAAATGATGTGATTATAACATCAAAATTAGTTCTTCAGAAATGTAGCTGTTCATAAATTGCTTACTGAACTGGTAAGGACATGTTGTGTCATGTGTTGTAGACATCACATTTTCGAAGGTTCCAGTCAAGTATCATTACATCGCTTTGATTCCACTAAGAATTCAACTCTCCCTCATAAAGCTTCTGTTATACAGAAGTCTTCAACAGTTCTTTCTTGCTCTTCTCTCATATATAAGTCAAATTGACCCTTTTCTGTACTAATCAAAGCAAAGAATCATCCGAGCACCGAGTATGGGTGAGAAAATCACTTTCTTCACTCGGTAACCAGTCATTGAGACACAGTCCCAGAACTGTCAACAGCATCAATAAGGATTTTTTTTAAAGATGTATATAGATATTCTCATATCTTTTGATACGAGACTGATCTTGTACAACATAGTCCATAAATGTTGGCATTGATTAATGGGGTGGTCATGTCCAAACTCTCTGTCCATTATAACTAACACCGTTTAAATTGGGGAAATAAAACCCAGCAGTTTTCAAATCTGGTCCTTGGAATAAACTGCTACTAGGACTGTGCCCAAAGCCATAATTAGAATTCACTGACCACCCCATTTCTTGTCAGTTCGTATGACTAAACGTTTTCTGTACTTGCTCATATCCCTCGTAGGTCCTCAAATATAAGTAGTAAATGGTCTATATCCAGGCAGAACCTCCTCAAAAATATTACTACCAAAGATCTAAGGAACACGAGCGATTACGCGTTTGATCTTCAATCATATAAACTTCATCCTCATTACCAGACCCTTAGCATTTCCATACTCCTCTCCAGCTTAAATAGCGCCGTAATCCACGTCTCTTGCATGACATGAAACCACATATTGCGCGGAATCTCATTCATTCAGTTTGTTGTCTAGTATCCGTTATTAGGAGCAGAAATCTGATTGGCTAGGCCAGAATAGAAGCATTGCTTTTGCCTATTTCTAAGACGTCTCTAACACCGATACTCGCATACTTAAAACATATTAGATCCTACATCGTTCCCATCCTAGTCCTATTTTGTTCTGATTGACTCTGGATGAGATGTCCTCTAGTTCATCGTTTTCTTGATGTACGTAGATAAAAACGCATTTGTAGACGAGGAACATCCGTCAAAACGATATTTGTTTAGATCAAAACTTGTGGCGAACGAAGAGGAAGTACCTCGATAGTCACTTGCCATCAGAAAGTGCCTCGATAGTCACCTGCCACCTGTATCACCTGTAGTCCCGTTGACTGCCGAGTGACTCGAGTGGGTGCCAGTAAATCTTCCATTGCTTCCTGTCGCATGCACGAGTAGCCCAGTAGGTTCTGCTCGCTCTAGGGACTCGTCGAGCATCATATCTTTCTTCAAGGCTCTTTGTGAAGAACTCTGAACATCAGGTCGGTGGTCTTCCTGCAGTACGTTTGACATCCTGGGGAATCCAATCACTAACGGCTCTTGTCCATCTGTTGTCATTCATACGCATTACGTGTCCGACCCACCTTATCTTCAACTGCTTGGCGTACAGAATGGCATCTTTGATTTTTGATCGTTGAAGCAGATCGGACCTTCGGATCCCTTCCCTTACTGTGTGACACGGGATACTCCTAGCATCGTCATTCCACTGCGCGTTCAATAACGCTGAGTGACCTTTCATCCTGCTTACGCAGCGACCAGGTTTCTGACGCGTACGTTAGGGAAGGAAGTACCGTTGAGTCGAAAAGGTGGGCACGCAGTCGGGTGTTCTTTGTTCCCTTCATTACATCCCCGATGCTCTTGAAAGCTTCCCAAGCCGCTCGTTTCCTTCTGCTCAGTTCAGGAGCTAGGTCGTTCATCATATTGATTTCCTAACCTAGATAAATATAATTGGAGCATTCAGAGATATTCGTTCCGTTGAGCGTGAATGGGGCATGCGAAACCAATCCGTTCTTCATGAACATCGTTTCTGTGAGATTTAGTCGAAAACCAATCTTTCTATAGGCTTTATCAAAGTCGTCAAGCATACGTTCCGCTTGGCTAATGTTTGGTGTTATAAGGACGACGTCATCAGCAAAGCAAGTCTCGATAGTAGGAGTAAAAAATAAGAAACGAAAGAAAAATGAATTAACATTATGCATTGGTAAAAAATTGTAACGTCGAGGCTTGATGTAAGGTAAAGCAAAGGAGAATATAAAAACACATAGAAGCAGAACCAAAGTGAAAAAAATGAAAAAACATCGCTTTCTAGGCAGAAAAGTACCTGCGGAAGAACTTGGGCTACATGTGGCGCAAACTGAGCAAGAAAAGTTGGTACTCACATGTTTTGAAAAACGCGCGCTATCGCTACTGACGCGAACATACTGGAAAAACAAAAGCAGATTTACTGGATTTGCTGACCTGTTCATGGTATTCCTCTATGGTACTCATCATCGCTTCTGAAAGGCAAATATCATCCTTTTCGAAGTCAACTTCGACGACAGTACGGATGTTTATATCTTCCTTAAGAAGGTTTTTTCCTAGAAACGAGTTAGGTTAAAACTTCTTAGGCCATATGCACACATAGCCAAAGCACTCCAATACGTAGATTGAATACTGCTTCAACAACTCACCGACTTTTGTTAGAAACTTCTCCATATCTTTCTTCCATATATTAGCTTGTCGAACTCTTTTCTGAAGCATATCTTCAAGATGAAGACGCCGAGCGTCAAGCACGCGAACTTGCTCCTCAGGAAGAAGCTCCTAAATTCGTTGTAACGCCCAGAAACAAATAAGATAGAAAAGTTTTCGCCATATTCTGTCATATGTACCGGTTGAGGAAAAAAGTCTATAGCAGAAAAGTTAATTCTCTTCAACTTAAAATAGAAACATGTAAAAGCACAAAAACAATATTTGGAAGCATGCACATGAATAAGAAATTTCATGAACTACCAAATACTGAGCTAAGAAAAATCACTGCCAAAATACCCAAATTATTTGTAAGAGTAAATAGCCTACTGAATCATCTGCTTTCCCACTTGGCGTTGAATTACCCAAATAGGAAGCAAGAAGCCTCAAGTATCTATTTCGCTAGCAAGAGTAATTCAGAAAGTCCTATTCGCACTAGAAAATCGAAGAGCATTACACCTTTATTTTAGGACCCTCTTGGAGAAGTTTGACCGCCGGATTAATAGTCTTCGTGGTGTGTGCATGATATCTTGTGGAACATAGTCGTTAATGTCTCCTCCTGTGATCACTAACCATGTATTCAGGTCACTTCATTTTCCACGACTCGGCGTATACAGTAGCATTCACAACTTCTCATCACCAATGAAAATCACAGCTCTTATTCTCTCTCTATACGAACTCAATGACACCATATAGCGAGTTCGATAAAGCTAAGCGACCTACCGTCCAGAATGAGTAGCGTACAGGTTTCTGAAGGCGCGTAATGGCAAGAATTGCAAGGGTAAAACGTGGCCACGCAGCCTTTTGTTTCCTGCTCTCTACACTACATCCTCGGCGTTCTTCATGTGAGCTCTTCAAAGTGTTCGTTTTTTCTTGCTGAGTTCAATGCCATTATGTTGATTTTTCGATCGAGATATCTTGTGGAACACAGTCGTTAATACATAGCTGAAGCTTTCGGAGATATTCGTTGCTATGAAAGTCAACGAAATACAGAAGAAACAGTGCACTTCTCGTGAGCATTATTTACCCAAGGTCTAACCGAAGACGGATTTTACCCAGAAAGGCCGAAGAAATCGCCCGCATTCGTAATGCTTGGCTAATACCTGATGTGGTGAGAACAGCATCGTCAGTAAACTGAACATGCTGTAGCTGACTACCATCGACTTCCACTCCCATGTCCTGTTTCGGTTCTTGTATAACAGCGGTTGCACGAAACTTTAGCGATATGGTACCTTGTCGAACGCCTCTCCTTAGGTCGATGATAATATCGTCGCGCAATAATGAAATTCCAGTTATCAAATCAGGAAGGATCCTTGTGCATTGAGAACTGGGTATTGACGTGTTTAGAAATCAATAGTGGTAGATGGAATAGTAAACACTGCGGGGCAGCGCAGTGGTCAGTGATGCCGTCGACCAGGAAGCAAAAGTACTAGTTCGACCCCGCTTTTCAAAGCCTTTCTCCAGTCCGTGTATGAATTCCTTATCTCCGCTATCTCCAAGATTGCACGCAGAACCGACTCGACCATCATTCTGCGACATTCCGAAAGAAGACGAAATCCTCAAGCACCAGCCGAAAGAACAAACGAAATGTCTGAAGACCATTGTGGATGTTGGATGTGAAGAAAACGAATCGGATGCAAGAAGTGCTGGGACTCGCACATTAGATGTGATGATGGGTCATATAAAACAAAACGAAAAAACAAATAAAGTGGTAATAATCCCTTATGACATATTTCTTGACAATAATAAATTAAGATCATGGAAAACCAGCTTTCACGATCAAGATGTAAGAATTTTCTCATCAATAAGTTCTAGAAAACCGTACGCCGTCACATCCTATGGTGGGGGTTTCCTCGTCAATTCCTAGGCGAAAAGTGAGCTGATTGTAGCGATCAATTAACTCAGCCTGCTCTCTCTGACGAGTTTCATACAATGGTTTCAAAGTCCTGATCTCGTCTTCGATTGATCTCAGCTAAAATTACCGAATATTGGATGGAGGGCTTTCAAGGCACTATATCTAATGAGATTGAGTGCTTAACCCTGGTCCCTCTCTATTCATAAGTCAAAACTCCTAAGAGAAATGTAAAATGCATGGAGATAGTGAAGTTATCCTTTTCTCCTACTACAAAATTAAAGGAAAACTACTAGGCATAAAAGAACACACCAGCTGAATCGACCCTGGAGGGGCACTTTTATTCTGCCACGGTTCCAATCCAAGTTGAGATCTTAGCTTATTAATTTTAGGCAAACCATCCTGAATATCCTTAGTCACGGCTAATACCATGTCTTCTTCTGACGCCACCTAAATGCAGTGTGTTTTGACTGCACAGTCGAAAAGCTCACCCGTTAGAAAAATGATAAACTGTATAGTCCAGAAGCACAGAGAAGAATTATGACAGAAGACAGAAATCACATAACGAGAGATG